CATTTTTTAAATCAAAGTTTCTCATTTTTCTTGGAACTTTATCTTTGGGAATAATCGAAGCCTCAGATGAACATGGAATTTGGTTGACTCCCACCGATTCTTAGAAGTATTAACAGAAAAATGTTAAATTCTTCCCTTGAGGTTTTCAGACCACCCAGATGGGGTGCATTTAGACTGGAGCCTCCATGCGAGTTTGTCAATACTCAGAGTTTTCCCCTCAATTCACTGCCAAAGTTTTGGACAGAAAAGTTTTCTTCTGATGCCCAGAACGGGAGAGTTGGGGTTCCCCACCTTAACTTCACTTTTAATCTGGCCTACATATATCCTTGCCTTCATTCTACCCATGCGTTTAGGAAAAATTTTGATATTTTATCCAGAAAGTTTATTTTCAATGGAAGGGTTAGTCATCTGACATGCTAGAAAAATAAAAGTCAGTGAACAAGCTGACTTACGGTGCTTTTCTTTTTTTTAATCCTCACCAAGGATATGTTTTTATTGATTTTTAGAGAGAGAGAGAGAGAGAGAGAGAGAGAGAGAGAGAAACATTAATGCAAGAGAGAAACCCTGATCGTTGCCTCCCATATGTGCCCTGACGAGATTGAACCAGCAACCTGGGTATGTGCCCTGACCGGGAATCGAACCTTTGGTGCAGGAACAATGCTCTGACCAATTGTGCTACACTGGCCAGGGCTATGGCTCTTTTCTTGAATATTTAATTATGAAATGTGGCTCATCTCTGGGGTGACTCCTATCATCTGGTATGACTGAGCCATCTACCTTTTGCAAGACTCAGTATATTCTATCCAATTAAATCACGATAGTAAATGATTATAACTACACACATCTGATTCAGAATCACTGAGGAGCAAGGTAGAGCTTTACTGAATGTCCCGATGGCTGTGGAGTGTGGATTTACATCGAACCACATGACAAACTTCCCGAAACATCTGTAACATTTCACTTTCCCCATTCCCCTGAGTGGAGGACTCTCTGCTCCCCCTGCCACCTGCACCACTCCTTCCTCCTGGGCAGGGGAGTCAGGGCGGAGAGGAAGAGATCACAGACAACTGATGACTCCGAGCTGTTCATTTCTGAAACGAGAACGTCGTGCTGGGGTGCACCGGAGGTGGCGTGTGGTTGCTCTATTTCATGCATGAAAGAGCCTCTTTGCTGTTGGCTGATGGGCAGAATAAGATTGAAGACAAGGAAAGAGAAAATCAGAGTCAAGCTGCGATAACAATTACTTCTGCCTGGTTTCTACAAACCAACCAGAGACCCTTTTACATACTATCCTTCTCAAAGACCTACACTGTCAAGACCGTCAGCTGTACCAACTTTGGCACAAAGCAATATCACCGAATAGGAACGCAAAAATCAAGTCCAGATCAGTCAGACCAGAGAGCTCTGGCCACGTTACTCCCCATCAGGAGAGTGGCAAGATTTATTGATAACCAAACCTGAAAAGCCCAAAGTTGAGGGGTTTTTTTTTGCATGTTTGTTTTTATGTACTTTCAATTTTTATGATTACAGTTAGTTTCAGAGTATGGATATATGAATTACAACAGATGTTATCAATTTGTAAGTTCTGCTTACCAGCTGTGGTATTCATCAAGTATCGGCTATGTCCTGTGATTCAAGGTAGGATACAGAGGTGATGTCCAGTGTCCGTCCTCAAGAGGGCTCACCATGAAGAGAGGGAGCACAAATAATAGGGTGTGAATAGCCAGAGGAAGGAAGAGCCGCAGTACGAGAAGTTTCTAGAATCTGAGGATGGAAAATCAACCTTAGAGCTCCATGTAATACTGGTGGTACAGAGCCCAAAGGTTTAAAAAATGTTTTTGACAAATATTTATGAAATAAAAGAAATCCTGATTATGTAAATATATATGGGGAAAACTTAAAGGAAATATGCCAACATGTAAACAGTTTGTTACGGTTGTCGTCTTTGTGTTGTGGTTTGTCAATGCGGTGACACGGTGTAATGAGCAGAACGTGGGCTTTGGAGCCTGCGACCTGGCACTGCCCCGTGCCTGTCATGTCAGGAACCTAACTTCTCTGAGCCTGAGTCTTTTTCACATGAAAACCAGGAATAATGACAAGGCTGACACGCAGACTCAGTGATGCAAAGCACTTGTCATAACAGTAAACAGGAATTATATAACATGTATTGCATTTGGGTGCTCGCCTCTTCTCTTTCCTTTTCTATCTTAAGCCATTGTTGGTTATCATTTCCTAGTATAAAAAAACATTCCTGTAAAACTAAAAAAATTATTCCCTAATTCCTAGGACTGAAAATACTTAAGAGTCAAATCTCGTTAGTAACAAGTGAACAGCACCAACTCTTAGGTGTCTGAGGCTACATGGCAGAGGTATGACCTGTATGCTCCAGGGAAGGAGTGCTCAAGCCATGCCAGGAGTTTCCCAACACACTCATAATGAAGGCAACCAGAAGATGCCACTTTGTACTAACACCCAAAACAGACTAGACAAACAGCCTTTCAGGTCACTGTGTCAGCATCCAGAGGCACCTGAATAAGTAGTTAGAATCCAGTGTCCAGTTAAAAATATTCCCACCCTGGCCAGTTGGCTCAGTTGGCGGAACATTGTCCCACACACCAAAAGGTTTCGGGTTCAATTCCTGGTCAGAGCACATACCTAGGTTTCAGGTTCAATCCCCACTCAGGGCACATATGAGAGGCAATCAATGTTTCTCTCACATTGATGTTTCTCTCTTTCTCTCTAAATCAATAAACATATCCTCAGGCGAGGACTTAAAAAAAATATATATATGTATATATATACACACACACACACACACACACACACACACATATATGTATATATTCCTAACTTCTCTTGTTCTCAAAAACCATGTTAGAAGCACTAAGACTGCTTGAGTGTCTCAGCAGTTGCATTGCATGCCTTTGTTTTAGTTCAAGTACAGAGTAGTTCACAAGATATAAAATGAAAACGGAAGCCAGCATTTCTTAAGTTTATTGGAGAATTCTTAGTTGGAAGGGGAAAGATCACAGACTTAACCAACTGATAGAAGATAAAAGAACAACTGCAAATTATTACAAAATTGATTTCTGAAATGTTTATTCTGAACCACTGCTAAAACAAAACTTTAGTGCATCCTGAAGTTCATGTTTTGGTAAATGAACATTAAATTATTCAAAAGCAGAAGTTACTGTTATACACTACAAGATCTTAATATAGTAAGTCAGCACAGTCAAATAAACAGCTACAATTATTTAAAGCTGCTTTTGCTATATATCTGGCATAATAAACAAGAATGTGAATTACCTTTAACACTGCACAAGTATTTGAAGGTAGCAAATCCAGCAATATTAAACCTGATATTAAATAGTATTCAAACATTACAACAGAAACAAAACAATGAACTTCTACAACTACAAGTCTACCCTTGTGAAAGGAATGTACATGGATGGTAAAAAAAATAAATAAATAAAGTGACAAGAGTGACTAACACTGTATCTGCATCTTCAGAGCAGAAATACAGGTGAGTAAATGCATACAGGATCTTTTACTAAAAATGAGAAAAAAGTCATTTCACTTTAGAACAATTTTATAATTCCCACTGAAGCTCTAATTCTTTTGCACTGGTGACAGGTGAACAGGGTTTTAAATGAAAGTATTTTCCCTACAGCTTGAGTATGGATGCGGTATTTTTAAAAAAATTCAGTGGTAAGTTTCCTTTGAAAAATATAAAATTTAAAGCAATATACTAATGGGAAACTGATATTAATTGTGGAAGAGTAATATTATTACTTAGTAAATAACTAAGAAAACATCTGGGTCTGGACTCTGATGAGTCAAGGTTCAACTCACATCTGGGGAATGTGCACTGATGTCAAAGTCATTGGGTAAACCACCCTCCACTTCATATAGGGTGCATTTAATAAGCAGTAACATTCTCCTACCAGCAACATACAACCCTTATTGAAATATAATAAAAGTACGATAAATTGAATGAATTCACATCGAATATCTGAAAGGGTAAGTGAAATATTTTTCCAAGTATCAAGATGTCACCACATATATTCACTGAGTGAAATACTCTCAAAGGTTTTATTCCATTAAACTATATCAAACCATCCAACAGACATTGTAATTTTCTCCTGTGATTTGTAAATGAATCATTTCTTCTATAAATCAGGAGATACTTCAAAATCAACATTAATAATATCTAAAAATTTAAACTTAGCTTGAGAAAAAAAGACTATGAAAGACTTGCCACATTTCAGTCTAAAATAATATCCTCAAAACACCTTATTAGATAGAGGCCTCCTTTCCTTTCTACAGATCCTTCAATGGTTCTAAAAGTGACCAAAGAAAATTCAGCTCAATGCATACAACTTTAACAGTTCTGAATAAGATATTTCATAAGGGCCAAAATCTACAGAATGGCAATATTATAATATAAATAGGTAAAGTAGATTTGTATTAAAATAAGACAGAGCTGTCCTCAAGAAACAGCTGTTCTGAAGACTGAGTAACCAAAGGAATCTAGAACGTCTTTGGAAAAATCACAAAGTGCCCTTAAAGCAAGTAAATTTAGACTCAAAAGATACTATTTTAAACACAAATGTTCTCTCTCTATGTAAGGAAACTTAGCTCACTCTTCTTTTCACATTTGCCAATACTTGACATTTTTCTCTCCACCCCTGCACTGACTTGATACAAGTGTGGACTTCCACTAGGACTATTACTAGGCACGTTAATACCTATTGACTGGTCTGACGTGTGGAGGCTAACTAAGGGAACTCTGAATATAGCACAGCTCCATAAAAATTCAAAGGAAGCCCTGGCCAGTTTGGCTCAGCAGCTGGAGCATCAGCCCGTGGACCAAAGGGTGGTGGATTCGAATCCTGGTCAAGGGCACATAGCCAGGTTGCAGGTTCAATCCCCATACCAGGTCGGGGTCGTGCAGGAGGCACCAATCCATGTGTTTCTCTCACATCGATGTTTCTCTCTCTTTCTCCCCCTCCCTCCCTTCCACTCTATCTAAAAAAATCAATGGAAAAATATCCTCAGGTGAGGATTCACTAAAAAAAAAATGCAAAGGGATATGAGGAAAATCTTACCTCAAAATGATTATTACCATAAGAGGAATAAATATAAACATTTTCAAGCACAAAATTTTACAAAAGTAATATATCATCAATATATTGTCACTTTAGGTTAAAAGAAATTCAGAACTCAGTTTTGCTGTTAATCAAACCCGTACATACACTGAAGTCACTAAACACAACTTGGCAGTTACACATTTGTAAAAACGCGATCCAAACTCCACAGTCAGTTAACCCGCATCACAACGAACAACACAGCTGCTCACATTAAAAACCCAGTCAGTCCAGTGCTGTTGTGTCTCAAGTTCTGAGAAGCTCAAGACAGAAACGACTCTGGTTATATACATTTCCTGCATTTCTTCACCCTAAAAATACTTGAAGAAACTTAAGGAAACTTTATTTTTAAGGCCTTCTCTATTTCTTTATCTTGAGAAAAACCAAAGCTTGCAATATAACCACAAAATATTTAAACAGTTCTTGGCATTTCCTTAAAAAGCAAATCTGACTCTTGCATTAGAAAATACATTTCTCTACCATCATTATTCATTCAAACTAATGTAAGTTCCCCTACTCCTTGCCCAGTGGCAGGTGCTATGCCTTCTACACTTTGTGCAGCTTCCAAAAAAGTCCGTGCTCAGGATAAAAGAAAATGTACTGAGCCAAACCAAAGGCCTCAACAAAAAGTGATTTACTCTGGATTACAAATCCACTACCAGAAGAACCAGAAAAGTCACACACACATATCCTCGCATACGAAACCAAGCCACAGCTAGGTGCTCTATTCAAGTCAACTTGCAGTTTCTAAAGCCAAAGCAGCAGGAAATGTAGAGCCCAGAAGGATCATGTCAGAGGTCTTTACAAAATAGTGCAGATAGACTTTATCAGGGGAGGTTCCTTTTTTTTCCCCTAGAAAAAGCTTATCCTTGCTAAATTGGAGAAGACTTCAAAAATCTAAGAGTGAAAATCATTATTGGACCTATCAATGCATTTCCTTTTTAACATTAATTTTTAAAATTTCAACATGTTTTGCGATTTTATTTTCATTAATAGGATGTTAGGGACCCCAAATAGTCAAAAAGAAATAAAAATTTTTACTGCACAATTTTTATAGACATTTTATTTTAAAGCACCTTTTTAATGTTAATAGTGAATTTCTAACCAAGAAAACATTCAACTAAAAGAGGGCACAAACTACTAGCAAGGTTAAAGTACTCCTTTGCGTGTGCACACACGCACAAGCACACGCACACGCACACACACTTTCCTGCCAGAACAATTGGCAACATTAGCAAATAATGTACTTGGATGAAAGGCTGAGGAAACTATCATTTACAATATTAACAGAAACCTAAACTACTAATGTTTCTAAGGAATTAAATAGTTTGAGGGATTAGAAAAGCTACGAACAGCTGAGCTATGAAAATAAAATTGACTTTTAAAAATGAGTCCAAAACTACCAGAAAAAAAAAATCAGCCTCACTGCTATTTTTTGATGTCAAATTAGTTATTAACAAAATACCATTTGTTTGTAAAGGAGCAAAATTCCAATTCTTTATCCCTGGAACTATCCTTAGCCACCTCAGTGTGGTTTCTAGCAGCACAATTTGGATGTAAAAAGAATGACATCAATCAATGTCCCTGAAAACCTCACGGTTAGACCTTCCTTCAAATACATGTTCTTAGGGTCTTAGCATATTACGCGTGGACAGAAGAGTAAATGAAGATAATATCTGACAGATTACAAAAGTATGAACTATATACAGTATGTGATGGCACAAGGAGCTTAAAAACTATATTTAGTTTCCCCACAATTCACTTGAAATGTTAATATTCACTAGCCAAATGTTATCCGATGCAACTTTGTCTGTTTCTTCCTCTCCTAAAACAAATAATAGACACAGACTGGTTTGAGCTGGTTCATGCATTTTCCAGGAGCCAGTGGAACAGCGACCTGCACTCCTCACTGGGAGTCTTTTCCGTCACTTCGCAGTAGACGAGCACAGCCTGCAGGAGGGTTCCCACTTTCCATCCTTTTTCCTGTAACCGTTTTGAAAGCTAATTAAGACAGAAAGATATGTCAAATATTAACCAATAACAATAAAATTTTCATTTTTATTTTTAACAACAGCTAAAACTAAGAATCCTGCTGTTTGTAATAAAAGATTGTTTCCCAGTGATTACAAAGTCATCTCCCTAAACCACTACTTTATACGAATTAACATTTTCCTTTCCTGCCCTTTATAAATACATCTCCTCCACAGAATGACACTTCGGGATTGCTGGAGACAGAACTCCATAAACCTCACCAAGCGGATACTGTACGGGAGTACAGATGCTACATTTCTACAGGACATTCTTAACCTCACTAAATATATCTGCCACACCCTCAATTAGAAACATAAAATGATAAAGACAATGTCAAACTTAATAAAAGGATGTGGATTTTCCTTCCACAACATATAGTGTGGGTGTTTTGGGGGGGATACACACTCTAGCCTCAACAGAAACATGGTTTTGTAAGTTAAAAAAACCTTTATGTTTCAAAAAAAACAAAAACAAGAAAGTAAAATACTGTGGTCATTTCACAATACAGTATACAAATATTGAATCACTGTGTTGTACACCTGAAACTAATATATTATGTATCAATTATCTCTCAATAAAAAGTCTTGGCCAGTGGCTCAGCTGGTTGGAGCATCACCCCATACACCTAAAGGTTTTGGATTCAATTCCCAGTCAGGGCACAAACCAGGGTTGTGGGTGGGTTCAATACCCTGCTGGGGTGCATATGGGATGCAACCAATCGATGTTTCTCTCTCTCCCCCTCTCTCTAAAATCCATTAACATATCCTTGAGTGGTAAAAAAAAAAAGGAAAAGTGAATAGCCCTGGCTGGTTTGGTTCAGCGGTTAGAGCTTAGGCCCACAGACCAAAGAGTAGTGGGACAGATTCCGGTCAAGGGCACGTACCTCAGTTGCTGTTCAGTCCCCAGCCCTGGTCGGGACCCTGTGGAAGGCAACCAGTCAAGTGTCTCTGTCTGTCTGTCTCTCTCTCTCTCCCCCTGCCTCCTTCCCTCCCTCTCTGACTGAAGATAAATTGAAAAATATCCTCAAGTGAGGATTAAAAAAAAAACAAGTAAATAAATACTGTTTTAAATAAACTCTATCATGACCAATCAGAATGTCTTCGCTCATTTTTTTCTATTTAGTTCTATAAAAACTATTTTAATTTTTGTAATATATATATGCTTTGCCTTTTAAAAATAGCTTTTGAATTATACCTCAATAAGAATATAATTCATATATCATACAATCCACCCATTTAAAGTATACCCATCAATGGTTTTAATATTATTCACTGGTTGAATACAAGCATTACCACAACCAGTATCAGAACATTTTTATCACACAAGGAAAGCCCTACACATTAGCAGTCACTTCCCATTTCTCCTAACCCCCCAACTGCAGGGAATCCCTAATCTACTTTCTGTCTCTATAGATTTGTCTATTTTGGCCATTTCATATAAACAAAGTCATTTATATAAAATGATCTATTTCTATCACACAATCTATTATGATCAGTTTCTTTCATTTAACACAATAATTTCAAGCTTCCTCCACAGTATAGCATGTATCTACTTCATTCCTTCTTATTGACAGATTCCATTCCACTGCATGGATAGACCATATTTTACTTATCCATTCATCAGTTAATAGACACTTAGGATGCTTCCACTGTTGTCTATTATAAATAATGTTGCCATGGACATATGTTTTCACATACTTAGGAGTGGAATTGCTGGCTCATATTATAATGCTATGTGTAACTTTCTGAGGAACTGGCAGCATGTTTTCTGAGGTTACACAGGGACAAGGTCCCCTTACTCAGGTGCTACCATGCTCAGCTCTGCCTATGGCTTTCCTTAGTCCTCAGTTAAGACTAAATGACTTGAAAATGTTTGCCTCCCTAAGGTCATTTCTAACACTTTTCCTATCCATTCTTTCTTTTTGACAGTTTATTTCCTGAGCCTCACTTTGTCTTATTTCTCCCTTTGCTCAAGAACTGAAACCTAAACTGAAAAAATCCACAATATCTAAGTAAAAACAAGTAACAAAATACTAAAAAAAAATCTATTTTTACATAATACCTTTTTCACATACTTCTTTCAACAATATTTTTGTAAGTTCTGAACCAGGAATCAAGAGTAACTGAAATGTCCCTTTTTTTTGCTATTATTGATCAATTTACATTTGTTACTCATTAGACTATTCTATACCCTACAATAAGATTAAACCAAAGTTTTGATAAGAAAAATTGAGACAAAAACTTTAGGATTCTAAACTGAAAATCTTGACTAACAAGATGCTTGGCAAATAAGTTCTCAACAAAAATATCCTATTAGTGCATCAAACCTGAATGTTTTATTAGAACCTTATTAAATACTCAGGTGGTCCATTGTCCCTTATTAGAGTTTAAACTTCTACTGCCTTTGATTTTGCTAGCTTCTCATACTAATGAAACTGGATTAACAGAGAAAAATATGTACGAAGTACTAGGCACAATTACAAATCAATTAAATACAAAAAAAGTCATTATTTTCATAGAAACACATGAAATGATTATTAATGACACCTAAATTTGAGAATTTAGAAATTGTCAGGCACTAGATTAAGCATTTTTTATAGTGTTATATTTAATCCTCACACACCTTTGTAAAGTAAATTCTATATTCACTTCCATTGTGCAGATGAGGAAACTGGTGAACTTGCCCAAGATTACACCGCTCGAGTGGCTGAGCTAGTGTATGAACCCAACTATCAGACTACTGCCTAAGCATTTACCCACTCTACTATCAGTGGGTATCCTACTAGATCAACCACTTGACACAGAACATTATGAACTAAATGTATCCTCACAACCACCCTGTAAGGCAGATACTTACTTGTATAAACTCCTTCTTTGCAGAGTCACAGAAAGAAAGTTCTGACACTTCAGCCTCGGAGGCAACGAGCCACTGAAGAATAATTCTTAGCTGGGGGTCTACTGTGTATGGCTCCATGTCAATATTCATTATTAGCAGAGTCTTTCCATCTTGCCCCAAACCTAATATTTAAATTTAAACAATATGAAGTGAAACTCATTAATTCAACTGTTAATACTCTGGTTTCCAAGAATATGTAAATATTTTCCTTTTCTTAAGATTCCAAGGAATGCTCTCAGGTCCTCACTTCCAAGATGACCAAGAAAAAAAGGAACAACGGTCGTGCCAAAAAAGGCCGTGGCCATGTGCAGCCTATTCGTTGCACCAACTGCGCCCGATGCGTGCCCAAGGACAAGGCCATTAAGTAGTTCGTCATCAGAAACATAGAGGCTGCAGCCGTTAGGAACATTTCCGAATCAAGTGTCTTCGACGCCTGTGTGCTTCCCAAGCTGTATGAGAAACTACATTACTGTGTGAGCTGTGCCGTTCACCGCCAGGTAGGCAGGAATCGCTCTCGTGAAGCCCGGAAGGGCCACACACCCCACCCTGGTTTAGACCTGCGGGTGCTGCCCGACGACCTCCACCAAAGCCCATGTAAGAAGCTAAGTTCTTAATGACTGAAGAAAAGTTCTCTGGAAAAAAATAATTGGAAATTGTACTTTGAAAAAAAAAAAAAGATTCCAATGAATGCTTGAAAATAATCCATCCTTTCTTAACCACACCAAAATATTAATTAAAACATTTCTTTGAAAGGGCTAAACAATGTAAACAAAGGGATAACTGTGATCATCTACTGAGAACACAAATGCAAAACTCTACTTTGAGGCACTGAATTAAATGAAGTACCATAAATGCCATCATTTGTGTCACAATATGACCCACAGGTGAAGGGAGAAAAAATAAAACTATAAAGCCAAGATTACAATCAAAATACAAATGAAACATACAAATAAAAACCTCAAATAAATATACTGAATGGACTTGAAGAAAACTTTCTAAATAAGAGAAATTGCAGCAGCAAATACTTGTATAGCACTTATTAAAGTAAGTATTGTTCTAAGCTGTTGAGATATACAAAGTCCTATAATCCAAAACCACCCTATGATGTAGAAACTATCAGCATCTCCATTTTACGGGTGAGGCATCTGAGGGAGAGAGAGATCCTGAATCTCAGAGTGAGGAAGCGGCTGAGTAAGAACACAGTCTGGCTCCATGCTCTTAATCACTTCATTCTTTGGGCAAAATAGGAAAAATGTTATATGCAACCACTTAAATCCCAAAAGCAAGACCAGGGAACTTTCTGGTGGTATATCACTATTACAAATAAGATATTACTCTCACATTTATTTTCTTTTTTAATGAAAATTGTTTTCACTCCAGCCGAGTGGTTCAGTTGGTTGGAGTGTCTTCCTGTGCACCAAAAAGGTTGTGGGTTCAATTCTAAGACAGGGCACATATCTAGGTTGTTGGTCAATACATAGTTGGGGTGCATACAGGAGGCAATGGAATGATGATTCTCTCTCACATAAATGTTTCTCTCTCCATTCCTCACTCTCTAAAATCAATGAAAAGTCCTGGCTGGTGTGGTTCAGTGGTTAAGTGTCATCCCGTGCACTGAGAGGCTGTGGGTTCGATTCCTGGTCAGGGCACATGCCCGGGGTTGTGGGTTCAATCCCCAGTCAGGGCATGTGCGTGAGGAAACCAACTGATGTCTCTCTCACATCAATGTTTCACACTCTCTCTCTCTCCTTTCCTCTCTCTAAAATCAATAAGAAAAAAGAAAATTATGTTTTCAACTAAAAGTAGGATGAATTTCTGTTGAATGTGAAAGTGACTTAACACTCCTGCTTAATGATGGCTGAATCAGCAGTGCTAAGACATGGGCCATCCCACACAAGAGGTGAGCAGCAGGGTGCGCTAGCAGACATTGTGCCAAATTGTACCAGCACTGGAAATTTGTTGGTGAATGTCCCTGATTCATTTTTACAGTTTGCAGAGCATTCTAGACCACTACTAATTATTTTTGGAATATATGTAGGCCCCCAATTTTTCATTTACAAAGCTGGTCCACATTATTCTCTTTAAATATATGTATGTTTTTTCAGTCCTCCCCATTGACTCTCAATCAAAAAGAGGTTTGGGTCCTGGCTAGTATTGTTCAGTGGTTAGAGTGTCGGCCCATGCACTGAAGGGTCACAGTTTCAATTCCTGGTCAAGGGCATGTACCTGGGTTGCAAGTTACATCCCCAGCCCTGGTAGGGGCATGTGCGGGAGGCAACCAATCAATGTGTCTCCCTCACATTAATCTCTATCTCTCCCCCCACCTTCCTATCTTCCCCTTCCCTCCCTCCCTTCCACTCTCTCTAAAATCAATTGGGTGGGGGAGAAGCAGAGAAAGTGGTCTAGTGTACTAGGATACATTTTGTAATTCCTACAGTGGTCACGGGGTCAGGAGCTGTCACCCCAAGATTTCTCTGAACTATTTACGGGCGTTCTTAGTTCGGGACTCCTGGTTGCTTGGCCTATGAGTGACTTCTCTTTCTAAAGGGGTTACTAAACACTAGTGAAAAGAGAAGGGACTGACATCCTAAAACTACAAACAAAAACCAGGGTTGTTTCCTTAGAATTTCTATAATTTTGAATCTTTCTATAAATCTACAGCAATTATAGCTCCTAATTTACCAATTTCTAATTAAAAATTTTTTAAAGTTAGCTACACTTTTCTGTATAATGAAAGATAATTAAAATCTCACAAACTGGGTAATGACATGTATTTACAAATTATTAATCTCCTAACTTCTACCTACTCACAAAAAAACCCTTAATAGCCGGGCTAATGCCAAAAGTAAACATTTTTAAATGAATTTTATATTGATATTAACTTGTATCTTCTCTCTTAATCATTCCTCAGTCAAGTTAGTATTCATTACAGAAAATATTCACCACATGCATTTATACCATGTATATAGCCACTGAAACAACTTGTTTATATGTATTACTTCTTACTTTTCTACTTAAAAAAAAAATCAACACTTTTGTCCTGGCTGGTTTGGCTCAGCAGTTAGAGCGTCAGCCCATGGATCAATGAGTAGCAGGTTCGGTTCTGGTCAAGGGCACATACCTCAGTTGCAGTTCGTCCCCAGCCCTGGTCAGGGTCGTGCAGGAGGCAACTGGTCGATGAGTCTCTCTCACATTGCTGTTTCTTCCTCTCTCCCTCTTTTTCTCCCTCCCTCCCTCCTACTCTATCTGAAGATAAAATGGAAAAAAAAAAAAAAATCCTCGGTGAGGATAAAAACAAAAAGAAAATCAACACTTGTACAGTTAACAAAAATAAAGCAAGTATTACCCAGCCTATCCATAACTCAGGAAGTATAGCTCTACTTCTACTTTGTGTCTAATGAGAAAAACTTACTTCTACAAACCCTATATGAAGAGAATGTCTACATGGCAAAGGCATTAGAACTCAAATATAATAGTAATGCTAGGTCTGATGATTTTAGCTCAAAAACTGATACATGATTTTCCTAAACAAGAAAAATATAGTTGGTAATAAAACTGATTGGAAACTTGGGTGTTATAAAGTACATTTCAAGAATTTCATTTTGGCAATTTTTTTTTAGTTTACCCACCTCTAAAGAAATAATAGCAAAAAAAAAAAAAAAAAAAAATCACTGCTTCAAAAACAAGTATTTCAAATGGCATAAATATTTGTGTGTGCCACTCTACAGAACACATAATTGGTATTTTCATAATTAAGGAAAAATATTTTGGGAGGTAAAAAATTGAACAACCATCTAAATACAATATAAACTCAGCTTCAATGTGAATAGTTTTTAGATTCACTCAGTCTAATATATTTGAATTAGGGATTACAAATCATGGTCCAGAACTCTGTGACCTACAGTATCTAGTATTTACATATTCAGAACTATGTTCATCAAAGGAAGAATTGAGTATTTTCTTCAACTATATGTATGTGAGTGTAGGACTGCAATTCCAGAAGAAAAGTGAAGACAGACTATGATTTATGTAAGATTATCATTAAACACCAATTCTAGAAGTTACTTGTTTGGAAGGAAAAAACTTTAATATATGCCACAGTTATAATAAATAATATCTTACGAGTAAGGATTAAGAATACCCTGATTTATAATGTAAATGCCCTTATTTGTAATAACCCAGAGCCTAACTGATGAAATGCAGAAACACAAAAATTAAAGACTCTTCTAGGGAATCTTATACAAAAAAACAGGCAAACACATTGAAACACAAACTGTCAGTTACCTTCTACGTCATCCTCATGTTCTTCCTCTTTATCATCTGGCCCATCACTTTTCACATAAAAGAACACAAGAAGTTAAAAAAAAAAAAAACTTTAATAATGGTATTAAAACCAATTCTTAAAATGTGGTAAAGAATGAATGTTACAATATGATGTGTGACATTTAAAAAGGGGAGAAATGACAATAAAAGGAAGCTTTGCTTCTCACACCATTTCATGTTAAAATCTGAATTGCAAATGATGCCTAGATAAGTTATCAATAACCAAGAAGTTCCACCTGACCAAAATATATAGAGTACCAAGTAATTTCGTAATAAAATTTATTTTTAAAAAATTTGAAGCAAAAATATTCTAATTTGGTTTTAGGTTTTAAATATCATAGAATGCCACAAATAATTAGGTATTAAATTGATGCTTCTGCTGATGCCATTTATATATTTTTAAGATGGTAAAAACACATTTTACTTATATATAAAATAAAACTATACAAAAAACAACAACAACAAAAAAAAGACAAAACAAAACAGAAATCCTGTAGGAAGCAAGCTCTTTTTAATGAAATAATAATTGGTGGTAGAATGAAAAATAGCAAGCAGAGCAACACATGCATAGAAATAACACATTTTGCTATTAGATGTCAATCATATCTTAGCATAGAATTTTTTTCATTAGATATAATCAAGCAGAATCATGTCAAAATATAGGAGAAAAGCAGCTTGACACAATACATACTGGCATTGTAACCCACATTGTTTTAAGAATATGACATCATGCATTAGTGGTGAAAGACTCATCAGCTTTTAAGGGTCTGGACTGGACCAACCTGTCTGATGTTGGAAAGGATAAATTGTCCTCATACAAATCTCCTTCTAAACCAAGACTGCTCCAGCTACTGCTGTTACCATTACTGCCAGAGGAAGAAAAGAACAGAGCTGAACTAGAAAATGAAGAGTAAAAACGACTTTGGTTTTCCTTGAACAGCTTCTGTCCATGATTAACTGTGGATGTTCTGAGGCTGCCACAACAGAGCGCCACACCACCACTGCTACCTAAGAGGGACCTGACAGCTTCAGAGACTTGGGCATTTTCTTACTTGTCCTCAAGAGATCATAAAAATTATTCTAATTGGATACTTATTTTACAGGTTAAGATAACAAAATGTCTTTTAAGACAGCAAATGAATGCATGAAAAAGTTTTATAATGAAATTAATGTCTATGTCAAATTTTAGGATATACTTTGTAAAAAAACCAATACTCTTCAGTTTGGAATAAGTTTAAAAAGAAAAAAACCACAGGTTGCCCTGGCTGGTTTGGACCAGGGAGTACTGGGTTCGATTCCTGCTGGGGGCACATACCAAAAAACAAAACCCACAGGTTAACATTCTCTCAGGTGTTTAGATAGTGCAAATAATGATGGACTTGGGGGTGGGGGAGGTGGGCACTGAAACACAGTCCCAAAGAGACCTTTCCTAACTTGGAAAAAAAAAGTTTTCTAAGTTTAAAATACTCTTATTGTGTCAATTACCTTCATTTCATATATTATATATAATTCAGTAGGTGGCAAATAACATACATTATCTTTAGAATATTGACTAACCAAAGTTTTCTCAAGGCTTACACTTGTCTGGTTGGCCAGTCACTAATGCCACACAGATAACTTCTTATACTAGACAATAAAAAGAAGAAAGCAACTATATTCTAAAACTGCAGCAAAGCAATAAAAAACTAAAAGCAACTGTTTCAGAAATAAAACTAAATTCAATCTTTCAGATTAAAACCTGAACATGCAATTTTTGAAAATTCTACTCATTAAAATAATTAGTAAGCACATTAGTTTGCAGTGAAAGCAGCTATATTTCTCTGTATTATGCTAAGGCAACTATAAAAATTAATAAGTACACAAACCAAAATTTTGGTTCTAAAAAATGAATTAACATAAAATCATTTTATAGGCATCAGTAAATGTTGACAAACTTACTTTAAAAAGGATTATTTAAAAGTTCTAAGTAGTTTCCAAGCAATCTTGAGTAAATTACATATCCATGTTTACCACAATCAAATTGTGACAAACTATAATGTATTAGAGAATAAAAGTTAAAACTGAGCAGTAACTTTTCACATATATTCAAACAAATATAACTCTATCATAAAACTCTCAAAACCAGAATCTTACCCATGTTGTCTGTTGTCAGACAAACCAAAATTGTATTCACTTCTATTAACAGAACAATTATATAAACAAAAAAAAAATTACAAAATCCTTACCCATACACTAATGATTCCCCCATTTAGTAATAAAAACCAATCATCTAAGTGTTGGATGAACATGAACAAAACAGCTAAAAAATGGTCACACTCCCCCTATCTAACCTCATTCCCCCTCCATGTCATTCCTTGAAATGGCTGAGATTTGAAGTCAGTTATTTATAAAATGCCACTGCTAACCAGGACGGCCACATATTTTTCACCTAATCAGGGCACTTCTGAAAATTAAAGTAGTGATTACACCAAACAGAAGTAAATCAGGACTCTCCTAAGCAAATTGAGAGGTGTGATCATCCTATATTAATCCAATCTAAAACAACTTCACTTCTTCAATTAAAAGTCTTTCTATTTCATTCTTGAACACTGTGTCCTGCGTCCATCATTTTCTTTTACATCTTTTCTTGTTTCCTATGTCAAAGACAGGCCTATCACACACCACTGGTAGTCAGCGTCTAAAGTTCTTTACTGTGGCTTTCAGCCGTATGAAGAGTACTGTCAATTCTGACGCATCTCAAAAATTCGGCAAGTCCAGCCCCATCTCTACCTAAATGTACTACATAACTTTTAAGAAATTGACAAGCTGCTGAAATATTTCAGATTCATTTACATAAACCAGTTCTCTTTCTGATCAAATCATTAACATTCCTCCTAAACATTTGTGAAATGTTGAGATTCTTGTTTCTTTTTTAACTGGTGGCCTCTATGGAACTTCCTAGAGGGAAAATACAAGTGTCCAAACCTCTGAAGTCTTTAATCTCCTACCTTGATCTCTGTACCAGAAAATAACAGTTCCCCCAGCAGATGTCATCAAAAGATGAAACATACAGCCTGTGTCTTAGGTGTGTTCTCTGAACCTCCTGCATTAAAATCACCTGAGGTGTTTATCAAGCATGTAGACTCTTAGGACCCTCTACTGACATAGGGTATCAATCTCTGGGACATGAGGCCCTGAAAACTGTATGTTCAGCAAGCATTCCAATCCTGGAAGAGTCCCACTAACTTTGTCTTTGTGCCTGAACCTTAAAACCACAAAGCATAATAGTTCTTAAGACTGTGGTAGATTAAAACCACAGAAGTTTTTTCTGGCAAAATGGTATCAAGCCAAGTTTTCCTCAACCTGAATTCAAATCAATTATCTGAACCTAAATGCATTTATCCATATTAACCATAATTATTTTAGCTACAGCCAGAATTGGCCATTTTGAGCCTTGGTCCTGATAAAGGGATTATCTTTTCACCTTCATTTAAAAAAAAGTTGCTGCATTTATTGGAGTGACAGTGGTTAATAATATTATATAGGTTTCAAGTGTACAGTTCCATAATACATCATCCGTGTTGTGAGTTCATCCATCCCTTTACCGTCTTCTACCTCCCCCTACCTTACCTTTCCCTCCCGTAATCACAGTACTGTTGTCTGTGCCAGTCAGGTTTCTTTTCTTTAATCCCTTCACCTTTTTCACCCAGTCCCCCCACCCCCCTCTCCTCTAACAGTTGTCAGTCTGTTCTCTGTAGCTGTGAGTCTGTTTCTAGTTTGTTAGTTTATTTTGTTCATTAGATTGTACATATAAGTGAAATCATATGGTATTTCTTTGTCTGACTGGCTTATTTCACTTAGCATAATACTCTCCAGGTCCCTTCATACTACTAGAAAAGGAAAGATTTCCTTCTTTTTTACAGCCAAGTAGTATTCCACTGTGTAAATGTATCACCACATTTTTATCCATTCATCTACTGATGAACACTTGGGCCCCTTCTAAATCTTGGCTATTGTAAATAATGCTGCTATGAACACAAGGAGTAAATATTTTCTTTCAAATTCATATTTCAGGTTTCTTTAGATATACTGACAGAAGTGGAATTGCTGGGTCATAAGGCAGCTCCATTTTTTATTTTTGGAGGTAATCTACACTGCTTTCCAAAGTGGCTGCACCCATCTGCATTCCCACCAACAGTGCACAGGGTTCCTTTCCTCCACATCCTCGTCAACACTTGATTTATGGTTTTCATCTTCGTTTTGAGTCATTCACAAATGAGTATTTCTTTCCACTAATAAATAATGCTATATAGGACAGAGCCTAGCAGATGTCTCCCTCTTTTCCTCAAACTAAGTAACATTCCACATAGTGCTGGCTACAGTCCTCTTAATGCCACTAGCCTCCAACCCTAGGTTTTCCCTTTTTAACACAAAGATGTCCTAAACAATGTCAACCCTCACTGAAATTCTAGAAGCTCGTGTTTCTCAAAGATGAGAGAAGACTAAGTGTTCATATTCTAGCCTAGGAAAGTTACGGAAAAGAGCCAAATGATGGTCTGTGATTACTACCCCCACTTCCTACTACCAGTTTTAAGGACTGCCATTTTTGGAACTAGATTTTAAAAGCATTGATGATTTACAACTACATTTTAAGAAACTATGACAAAATAGATACTTTATAAAAACATTAAGACTTACTGGTTAATCCAAGCATCAAACAAAATACTCTGAGATGATATGTTCTAACAGGTAGGAGAAAAGCCATTTCTTTCTGCTCCCTCAGACCCTTCTCTCAGTCTTCTTGCCTCCCTACCTCTTCCTCCTCCTGATAAGTCAAGTCCAAGGTTCTGTCCACCTAAAGCCTCACAGAGTCCTTTCCACATATGCCCAAAATTAAAAGTATCTATGCTGGGAACCCTTCCCTCTCCCTGGACTCAGTTATAGATGGTATTTATTATGTCCAATTATCAGTTAATGTGAATAAACATTTTATGGAATTTTCTTGGTTAAAAAATGCCTGTACAGACTTAAGAATATAAGAAACAACTATATCACAATTAATAAAATATTCCATAACTTTATTCTGAATAAAGTTAAATAAGAAAAGTTACATATGAGGTAAGTGCCTTCTGCTATACCAAACCAGTTTTACAATGAATTTATGTATTTTCAGTCATTCAAATATAAATGCTCTGGATCTTTTTTATTCCTGAGTAGCAGGACAAGTAAGGAACCCCTTCCAAAAAAAGATACTACCTTAACTAATATCAGAAAAATTACGGCCATTTTGATGCTTCAACCAGTGTGCCATAAGAATTTTTTTTTAATGCCTATTTAGTCAGGGGCACTGACTTCTTTTCTCTTAGATTGTCAAATTGAAAAATGATAACAGCTAACACAACAATAGTTGTCTGGTGTGAATAAATCAAAATTATAGCTACTTATTTTGTCAGATCGGCAAAAAATATATATTTTGGTGTGCCACATAATTTTAGTAATTAGTGTATGTGTGCCATGAGATGGAAAAGGTTGAAAATCACTACTTTACAGTAAGGAACAAAAAGTTTTGCCTTAAAAATTCATGAAAGGTCCAGGTAAAGCCTTTTAAAGGGTATAAAATCAAATGTATGCAACATTTTTTAAATCAGCTATTGGCACATCCAGAGAAAATTAGCTAGGCTAATTACTATATTTAATAAGTGTAAAAAACCATTAGAAATATGTCATGAATAATTACATTTTGAAAATGATGATAGATTTTCAAATTCAGAATTTTAAATAATACTCAGTATAAATTAATAGCTCACTTCCAGGTCTGAGGACCTAAACTATGCAGTTACATGTAAAATCTAGTTACCTTTCACTTAGATGATGAAAACTGCTGCTTTCATCCTGGTGTTCATCTTCAAAACTTAAATTGGACCAGCTACCAGTGCTGTCTTCACCAATACTGAGATTCATGTGCTGGCTACCAAAAGATTCAGTTGACTGAAAGTCTTCTTTTTCTTTTGGACTAAAGAAAAAATAAATTCAATCCAAAAGCATCAGGTTCTGAATTATAAACCTATAATTCTTATAGATGATAAAGGTAACAAAAATGAGAAATTATATTCAGAGTCAGACCAGTGGTCCACCAAACCCCTTTTCTTTGTGTCTGCCAACAAAGAGACTTTGCAGGACAGCTTATTCATTCCAGAGTTAACTGAGGTACCCACCAACACTCATCCATCCCAAGTACATCATTTATCTAAATTCTCTTTAAAGCAGTTTATATTTTCAACTAGGACCACTATGAAGGAAGACAAGTTTCTAAGTTTTCCATCTGCTTTGTAAGATAATACTTTTATTTGCACAACAAAACAAAACCCTTTCTCTTGCTTTAAAAATAAAATAAGTAAGTAGTTCAAGGAATTCTAGTACTATCAATCAAGCCAAATTTGTTCAAGATTTTGAGCGTGAATCATAACCCTTACCCTTCTCATTCTTTTTTTCAATGAAGAAACATTTATATTTTTATTCTATCTTCAGAAGAAAGGTCACTGTTCAATCATAACTGCCAACCAACATTTTATTCTCAACATAGCAGCTTAGAGTGATATTTTTAAACATGAAAAGGGAAAATGTTAGTCTGGTGATCAAAACTCTCCCATGGCTTCTCACCAATCATAAGCAGCCAAATCCTTATTACATACTATCGGGTAGTGACAATCTCTCATAACCTCCACCTTATCTCCCACTACTCCCCTTGGCTCACTCACTTTGGCCACTCTGACATCTTTGCTATTTCCTCAACATGCACAGTCCCACCCCTCTGCCTGGAACCCTCTTCCCAGATTTTCATGTGACTTATTCATTCTTCACCTTTGGCTCTTTGCTCAAATGTTACTTTGTCAGAGTTGTTTCACCTGCTACCTGTTCAAAACTGCAAACCAGCCCTACCTATTGCCACTCACCACCACCACCAGCACTAACTCCTCTCCTTGCTTTGGTTTTCCTCCAAAACATCTATCACCATGTGACATACAGTACTCATATTTTACTTTTTTTTTTTTTTACCCTCACCTGAGGACATTTTTCCATTTTTTTTGTTCAGATAGAGTGGGAGGGAGAGAGGGAAAGAGAAAGAGAAAAACATCGACGTGAAAAGGACACATTGAGTGGCTGCCACCCGCACAACCCAACCAGGGCCAGGGGCAAACTACAACTGAGGTACATGCCCTTAGCGGGAACCGAACCCAGGTCTCTCCGAACTGCAGACCAACGCTCTAACCGCTGAGCCAAACTGGCCAGGGTATATTTTACTTTTTTACTGTCTTATTATACTATAACATTAGGTCCAAGTGGATTGTATTTTTGCCTGTTTTACTTTCTTCTATATCCCTAGGGCCTAGAATAGGTTTTGAACTACCCCCACTCTGGGGCTACTCTCATTTTGTATTTAATATATATACTAACCAGAATTACAGTGGACATTCCAGCAGTCACACTATAGTTTTGAACAACAGTTTCATCTTCTATCTGGATAAATGGTTAATACCTTCCCTCAAAGAGCTCTTGTGGAATAATGAACAATGTATATGAAAGTAATGTGTAGAACATGAAACACGACACAAATGTAATAGAGACAACTTGTTAATTTGAGGTTAAAAATATTCCTACCTTTCTGAACAGAACCTAAGATATATATGATTGAGTTTAACTTTTTTTTTAATCCTCACTCGAGGATATGTTTTTTATATTGATTTTGGCGGGGGGGGACATCCTATATGTGCCCTGACGGGGGATCAAACCCACAACCTGGGTATGTACCCTGACCAGGAATCAAAACTGCAACCTGTTGGTGTATGGGATGATGCCCCAACCAAGCCACCCGGCCAAGGCTGATCGAGTTTAACTTTTCATTTTCTCATAAGACCCAAAAGAAACTTAAAACTTACCTGCTAACAGCATGTTCAACATTCATGATTGCTGACGTCATTATTTCTGTGGTAAGGCTTTCAGCAAAGCTAACACCATCTTGTCCAATTCCACTATCAGCTGCCAAACTGGTACTGCTCAGCTCTCTCTCTGCTCTTTCAATAGCTTCAGCAACGATCTTCTCAGCAAGCACTGTCTTCTTATCAAAATCAACATAAATTTGAGGTACATCAAGGTGAAAAATTCTAGATTTCTGATATATGTTGCTAAATTTTGAATTACAATCTGGCTTACTATGAGCAAGTGAATCCTGTCTGAAAGAGTGCTGATGTGAATTTCCATGGCAGTCATGGAGTTCTTTATGGTCACAATATCTGCAAGCTTGACTTACAAGAGGTGACAACTTTTCTGCATAAGTGATCCTATCTGCTGCTTTTGTGGTCTCAGACACTTGGAAAACTGTGGATCCTAAACTGAGTTCTAACGTGTCATCCACTACTTTTTTAGCATACTGTTCTATAGCTTGAACAACCTTCTCTCCATAACCATACCCATTTAAGTTGTCTGTACTGTGGTAGAATCTGTGATTTTGCAGGGAAGGCTGAAGAGGCTTAGGAAATTCTGGTTCAGTGTGAGACTCGGCATCTTCATCACATTCAGATTTTTCATAAAGGCAAGAATCTGTTGAGGATTTTGACAAGCCAACCGCAGACACTGTCAGCTCTTTTTTAACATCTCTGGTTATGCTGTGAGCAAGAGAGGCTGAAAAACTATACAGTTCAGAGCATTGATTTCTATATGTATCCCATGTCCATTCACAAGTTTGATTTTTACAGAGATAACCTCCATTTCTTTCACTTTGTCTTTTTTTATCTACTTCTTGGTGATGTTCTTTATTTAACATGATGAGTTCATTGTTGTTTTTCACCTGTGAGCTTTGCCCGAGGAGCATTTCTGAGTTGCACTTCATTTTGGCTGTCTTAGCTGCTTCTTGCAATCCAGACTTGACAGATCGATAAGCAAGTCTATTGGCATACTGATCCATTATTAACTCACTATTACCACCTTCCTGTTTCAGTACTTGGATAATGTGACCTGCATATTCATCTGTCACACTTTCACAGCTGGGATACTTATATGTCAGCCCTGACATACAGGAACTTGGTGGTAATGAAAGAATAAATGGATCAACTTCTCTTGGATGTGCTACAGTCTCTACGTTCAACTTCTCTTCTGATCTATAATCTTGGTCGCCATCACCATAACAACTGTTTATCTTTTGTCTGAAAAGCATACAACTTGTAACTTTTGCTATTTTCTCAGCTTCTGTAATGACTTCTGCTGCCATATCACCTGCAAAATGGCATAATGTTTGTAAATTTTCATCTGAGTGATTTAACAAAGTAGGTGATACACTTCTTTGACTCCACACATTGAAGCAAGGGCTTTTAATCTTGGGTTCTTGAATTATTTTATTATCTAAATGGGAAGCTGCCACTTCAGTTGCGAGAGAAATGATATGTGTAGCTAATGCTTCAGCAAACTGAACTTTGTTCTCTGAGTGCTCTGTCTTCACGTCCACTTCTGTGTGCTCTTCACTTTCACTACCTTCAACTTCTTCTGAAAGAGATCGCATGAGTTTCAACATGAACTCTTCTTTTTCAATAGTATTTTGTTCATTTTCGGTCAAACCAACAGATGAGTAGTGAGGTGTAGAAGGTGGTGTGGCAGGTGCAAATTCTTTCGCTAATTCCCCCTTGAGCTTTTTGGTTAACTTCTTGATATCCCATTCAGAACTGGCCTGGGATGGTACTAGAGGAGTTGATGGAGGAGTATCAGGTATTACATTTCCATCTCTGATTTTCTGTTTATCTTCCACATGCAAACCATCTACACACGTAAGCACTGCAGAAGAGAAAGTATGGGAATTGGGAAAAGGGCTTTCTTGCCCAAAACACAAGGGCACAGGAGCTGCATTATTCAAATTATACTTTTTCACTGATTTGTCCTTCGCAGCTTCCGTCAAATCAGGTTTCTGACCTGCCATAGTTGAACAACGTGGTAGTGTCTCCAAAGAAAATCCATGAGTTATAGAATCTTTACATTCCGGAATGCAATCCTTTTCCACTAAAAGCGAACAGTGAGATAAGTGCTCTTGAGCATCAAGAAATCTGGGGAACTTTTCCAAAGTCAACTGTGACTCTTCTCTAGGAATAGACAAGCCTTCCCTGTGTACATTTTTATCCACATTTGGGATCACTGATTTGCTTTTATCTATGGAATGTTTAATAATAGATTTAGATAATCGATCAACAAACATGTGCTTATTGCTAGCTTCACTCTGTTGCAGTGTCACTTGATCACAGTGGAAAGGAGGGGTTCTTTCCTTTACTGTTTTAGTTAAACAATCTGTGTGTTCATCAACTATTTTTGTAACTTTGAATGATGTCACTGACTCTAAAGTTTCATTTACTATCGAATGCACCATTGCTGCAGAAAAGTTGCTAATAATCACAGGATCACTTGTTAATCTTGAAGAACTTTGCATTTCAACATCTTCATTAGTTGGTTTAGAATCATTCTGGTTACCCAGATTGTGTTCTGAAGGTAAACAAATATTTCTGAGACAAGCTACTTCGTCTTCATTTTTTGTGGAAACACCTGCTTCAGTAGAATCACCATTCGAATTACTAGCACCAGATGACAGATGAGACTTTGCCTGACATATATTAGATGAAAAGTGATATGGGAGAAGGGCACTTCCTGCCAGGGGCACTGGGATAGAAGTAACAATTCCAGAAGTGCAAAACAAGGCCTGTTGTACAGTGTATTCTTTTTTATATTCCTGCATTGGTTTTGTCACCATAATTGCTTGATTGTTCAAAGTAGGGGGATATGTATTTTCTGCACTCACATACTTTATGTTATCTGTAGAAACACTAACTGCTGCCTTTGTTGTAAAGGTCACATCAACTTGTGATAGCTCAATAAATGCTTCCTGTATTACAGATTCAGACAAATCTTCTGCATATGATTTCACTACTTTGTCTTCATAGTCAAATGACCAACACTGTGGAGATGAAGGTGTTGGAGGATATGAAAATTGGCAAACTTCCATGATTCCTTCAAAAACAAGCTCTTCAGCAAGATCTGCAGCAAACCCAGCAACTATGTTTGTAAATATCTGCTTCTTTACATACTGTAAATCTTTTAAAGCATTTGATATAGCTTCGCTCACCAAGAAATTAGCCAGACCACTAATGGCACGCTCTTTCAGTAAAAAAGCATGCTGCCTTCTCAATTCATTAAATGCCATCTGAAAAACGGATGATGTCAATTTGACGGCTAAATGGCACAATGCATTGGTACATGAAGAGACTCCTTTCTGTAAATCTTTAAATGCACTGCCAAAACTTTTTTCCACAAGATCTGCTGCAAATTTTTGAATGCTATCTCTAATCATTAAGGATTTATTTTTGCTTTTTTGATCAAGGCTTCCACTCTTAAGAGCTATGGTTTTATTTTCTCCTTTGTTAACACTATTAATGTTTGATGTTTCATTAGTATGCTGGGTATGGAGAACCGAGCCCAGTACTTCACATGAAATGCTATTCGCATAATCTTCATAGGTGTAATAAATAGAATCATAATTTTCAGGCATCCTATCTCCACCAGTATCTGTTTGGCAAAAACATTCAGCAGGTGTACAGCCTCCAAGAGGACTAAAAGCAGAGGATCGGATGGGGCTAAACAAGCCACTATCTTCCCCAGATGCCTTCACTGGGCGAGGAGAATCTGGAGCATCACCCAGGTTGCTGTAAGGGGATTCTGGTTTACGAGGTGTTGGCTTTCTAACATTAGCTGGGAGAGCTGGACGATCAAACTTGAATTTTTGAGGATTCATAGTAGTGGTTACAGAACTAGATTTGTCATATCTGCGCCCTTTCTTTTGCGATGGTTTCCCTATGACAGGATCTTTTAGAAATGGACAGGAAGTCTCTAAAGTTTGTTCTAGTTCATCAAATTGATCAAAACTATCAAAAAATTCACTTACTTCCGAGTCTGAATCCTCTATATCATCTTTCATTACAGGAATTTTGGGTAGCTCAAGTTTTGCTTTTAGACTTTTTTGATATCCTTCTTCATCTAAGAAAATAACAGGACTTGGACTTGAACATTCTGATTCAGATGAATAGGCAGGAGAAGAAGAAAAAATCATTTTCTGTGCATCACTAACTTTATCTGAAGCAGTAGATGACCTATAGAAACTCCTTTGGATCCAAGGCTCAGAAATTGATGTTGTAACTGAACTTTTCACAGGTTGTTGTTTATGTCCCAGTAAGTTTATTAAGGAACTTGAAGGTTTAGCCAATGGCTTCTGCTGCCCAGTGCTAATCAGAACTCTTAAGTCATGGGTTTCTAACTGGTGACCAGAAGTAGTTTGTGAAGCAGCATCACACTGACTCTTTAGTGCACTGATGTTTACTCCTACAAGAACAGAATAACAATGATCAAATTATTCTTGAACAGAATTTTTTAAAATTTAAATCCATGGGGATAATAGACTTTAAGCATAATATATTTATTTATAGCATCTCACTTCTAAATTGTTGTTTAACATATTCATCCCAAGTTACTCTCAAAAGCAAATATACCTTTTACTAAAATAATTTCATTTTACCCTATACTTAGGAATACCTGGTCCATGGAAGGTTTAGCATGCTATCACACTAATATGGTGACTCTGCCAGCTAATTCCTCTCAAGTTTGAACCTAGGCCTGTTCCAAACACTTAGATAATAAGTTAAACAGTACTACCAAAATAAGAACAGTAGTAGTAAAACTAAAAACCAAATAGCAATGAATTTAAAAATTACAAGAAAATTAATTCCTTGGACAATCAGAAAAAAAAGGTCAAAACAAATAAACTTCAATTGAGTAAGTCAGCGTTAAAACTTTTAAGACTGAACTTTAAACTTTAATCCTCTATATCAAGAAGTCTAGTAAAGAACAAACCATCATTATATGGCTTTGAGGTCTCTTCTTCCTCTAAGTGCTCAAATGCAGTGACAAAGTCATCCTCTATAGATGACACTGACTGGTTAGTATCGTCATCATCTTCATTAGTGGTCTCAAGTTGGTGCTTCTGATGCAAGTATGTATCCAGGCTGTATCTTATACCAGTAGCATATTTACTTAGAAGACTAAAGATAAAATCAATTCTGAGTCTTGGTAATGTAGGTGGTGATACTCTCATGACACAAAGCATTCCAGAATGATGACTCTTGGGAAAGATGATAAAAGTATTTTAATTTCAAAACATACTATACATACAAAATACATTATCTGAAAGTGAAGCCTAGAAATAACACAATCTTGGGGTGGGGAATAAAAAAGAAATACAAACATCCTAAAAGGCTCCCTGATTTTGTCATGTTTCATTATTTTCTTCCTTCTTTCTCCACATTTCTTACTCCCCAATTTCTTCTTCTCCAACCTCTCTTTTATCCAGGTATTGAAATTCTACCTACAATATCTCCTTAAATGTAAGAACTTACTATCCATTCATTTGGCAATAATGTTTTCCTACATTACTGTACAGCCCTGTGATTTTTCTTATTTAATCATTCACCTCATTCACCAACTACCCTGTAAACTGCTTGAAGGCGGGAACATGTACTATTCTATTTTTGTATCCCATTTTCCTGTAGCATTCAGTAGAGTATCAGCTTCTGTCCTATCATAAGAGAATAATCCCCTCCTTTTACCTAAATTTCCCTAGTATTACAATACAATGTTTACAGCTTTGATTCAGAATACAAGTCATCAGATTTTTTCCATACACACTATCTTTAAAAATGCAAATATTATGAATGATTTATTCAAGTTAAAACTAGAACCTAAATATAATAGTTCCTCACCTCTTATGGTCTAACAAATAAAACGCAGTAAATATAAATGAAGAATATAATTAAAGAAATGAGGTGAGCAGTTCTACTTTTATGTGTAGAGCTCATAAAACCATAGTAGTCTTTTGTAAGTAATCCAAATTTTAAATATACTAAACTTCAAATTTTAAGAGGTAAAACATTTTTCTTTGATGAATTATCAACAAAGCAATACTTAGTAAAGAACTAAAAGGTGAATGTTATAAAATTAATCACCTGTCTGAAATAGTAACATTCATTTTTGTTTATAAAAATAAAGAAGACATCTTCAGATGTCTAGTTTACACAGGATTTTTTAAATCTGAAAATGAAGTAAAGTATGTTCTCTAAACCATATAGCACAACATTTATATAAATTTGGAATTGGCCATAAAGGGGGAAAAAATTCCTATTGCTTTTACAAAGCTAGAAGAAGTTTCAGAAATCCAGAAATAATAAATTTTCAGAAAAAAATTAATATGTACTTGCATAGCATTTATAGAACTTTGCACATGGAAAATCTAATTTAAGGCTATGACCAAAATTATTCTATACCTCAATAATTTCAAAGCTTCATGAGTTACATTTCTCATGAATATTTCCTTGAATATAGTTTATTTTTAAAAATAAAAAACAAAACTCCATCCAAGCATTTAAAGTTTAATACTCTCAATCAAATGTCATTGTAAAATTTTCCATGAAAAACTCATTAGAAATGATATACAAAAGTTACCTGATTTACAGGACCACTGTTTATATCTGGTGATTTATTTATATCCTTCATACAAATAATTTCATTTTCACTTAGACTACAGAAGTGTAGTGAATTCAGAAGATCTGGAAGTTCCAAAGACACTGCAGCTAAATCCTAATTAAAACAATAACATTTTGTTAAGATTGCTATAATGTGGGTACTATCCACGAATCATAAGGTCTGCTGGTTAATAAACCACAACCAATATTTTGAAAACTCAAAAATAAAGTGTACTGAAATATTTTAATACCTGCTATTTCTGCAGCCATTCTAACATATTAAGAATATCAAGCTACAAAAAATTTTTAGCCCTGGCCAGTATGGCTCAGCAGTTAGAGCGTCAGCCTGCAGACCAGCGAGACCCGGGTTCGGTTCCTGCTAAGGGCACGTACCTCAGTTGCAGTTTCTCCGCCCTGGTTGGGGTTGTGTGGATGGCAACCACTCAATGTGTCTCTCTTGCATCGATATTTCTCTCTCTCCCCCTCTCTCTCCCTCCCACTCTATCTGAAGATAAATGCAAAAATGTCTTAAGGAATAAAAACAATTTTTACATGGTACCTCACACATGTATGAAAATGAGGCTTCATAGTTTTTAGCTATAAATGTCAACCTACAGTCCTCAAGGTAACTGAACTTTTTCATATAGGATTCTTTTTTTCTAAATTATATCTTTATTGTTGAATGTATAACAGATATTCCTCATTTTTCTCCCATTGATGCCCTCCTCCCCACTCCCGCCCAGCTCCTGCCTTTCCCCACACTGTTGTCTGTGTCCACTGGTTATGCAACTATGCACATAAATTCTTTGGTTTATTTCTTCCCACCCCCCAACCCCTTTCCCTTTGAGGTTTGTCAATCTAGCAATGAATTTGTACTTCTTAATCCCTTCACCTTTTTCACTCATTCCCCCATCCCAACTCCCATTTGGCAACCAACAAAATGTTCTCTATATCTATGAGAATGTTTCTGTTCTGCTTGTTCATTTTGTTTGTAGATTCGATTGTTGACAAATATGTATTCATTGTCATTTTTTTGTTCATATTTTCTATCTTTTTCTTCAAGAAGACCATTCAACATTTCATATAATAATGGTTTGGTAGTGATGAACTCCTTTAGTTTTACCATGTCTGGGAAACACTTTATATGGCCATCGATTCTAAATGACAGCTTTGCAGGATAGAGTAATCTTGACTGTAGATTCTTGCTTTTCATCACCTTGAATATCTCTTGCCACTGCTTTCTGGCCTGCAGTTTCTTTTGAGAAATCAGCTGACAGCCTTATGGGAGCTCCTCTGTAGATAACAGTCTGCTTTTCTCTCGCTGCTTTTAAGATTTTCTCTTTGTATTTAACCTTTGGCATTTGATGATGTGTCTTGGTGTGGACCTCTTTGGGTTCAACTTGTTTGGGAATCTCTGTGCTTCCTGGACTTGTATGTGTGTTTCCTTCACCAAGTTAGGGAAGTTTTCTGTCCTTATTTTTTCAAATAGGTTTTCAATTTCTTGCTCTCTCTCTTCTCCTTCGGGCACTTCTATGATGCGAATGTTGGCACGCTTGAAGTTGTCCCAGAGGCTCCTTACACTATCCTCATTTTTTTTGATTCATTTTTCTTTTTGCTGTTCTAGTTGGGTGTTTTTTGCTTCCTCATATTCCAAATCAATGGTTTGCTTCTTGGCTTTACCTACTCTACTATTAAATCTGTGTAAATTATTTTTTATCCTCATCCGAGGACATTTTTCCACTTTTTGTTCTGACAGGGTGGGAGGGAGAGAGAGGAAGAGAGAGAAAACATCAACGTGAAAGGGACACATCGAGTGGCTAACTCCCACACAATCCAACCAGGGCCGGGGACAAACTGCAACTGAGGTACATGCCCTTAGCAGGAACCGAACCCGGGCCTCCCTGGATCTCAAGCTGATGCTCTAACCACTGAGCAAAACCGGCCAGGGCTAAATTATTCTTTCAGTTAGTGCAGCCTTAATTTCTGACTGGCCCTCTTTTATGTTGTTGATGTTCTCACTAAGTTCCTCTGAGGTCTCCTTAAGTTCTTTGAAGGTTTTACTAAGTCCCTTGGATGTCTCACCAAGTTCCCTGAGAAACCTTATAACCTCTGTTCTTAACTCTGTATCTGTTAGATTGCTTATCTCCATTTTGTTTAGTTCTTTTCCTGGAGTTTTGTTCTTTTCTTTCAGTCAGGACATGTTTCTTTGTCTCCTTATTTTGGCTGTTTCCTTGTGATTGTTTCTATGTATTAGGCAGAGCTGCTATGCCTCCTAGGCTTTGTAGGGTGGCCAGCTGTTGTAGGTGGTCTGTAGGATCCAGTGGCACAGTCTCCCTGATCACTCCAGCTGGGCCCTTGTGGTGTACCCCTAGTGTGGACTGTACACCCTTCTCCTGTAACTGAGTCTCGACTGCTGTTGGCACATCAATGGGAGGGGTTTACTCAGGCTGGTCAGCTGCAAGAACTGGCTATGCCCACTAGCCACTACCTTGGAGGATCAGCTGTGTAGGGACCCACCACACAGAGCAAGACTTACTTCAGCAGGGCTCTGGTACCCACTGAGTCCACTGAGTGTCACTTGTGGAGATAGGTGGGTGGTGGAGTTTCGATGTGGTGTAAAGCTGTCCACCAGGTGTGCTGGCTCCGAGGCAAGGTCAGCCACTGCCTGTGCTCTATCCAGGGCCACCAAGCATAAGCTACAAAGTGAACTGCAGATGGCTGCTTCTTGTGCTGGGCTTGGAGGTGTCTAGGAAACGCCAAGTTGTGAACCACGTCTAGCTGCTTCTAGTGCCAGGCCTGGGTCCACTTAACTAAGAGGTATGGGCTTGCTGAGACTGGCCCCTCTCGAGCCCCAGCTCCACACCACTCTTGTGGGCCACTGAGTCACACAGGGCCCTATGGAGCCCCTGGTCCTGCCACTGGTAGCTGGGGAGTGCTGCTGCCCAGTGGGCTCAGCTCCTGTTCAGCCTTTGCTGTAGTCTTTTTTGGGAGGAGGATAGTTCTCTGCTGCTGGTCTGTACTTCTGTTGCCTGGGGATGGATGTCTGCTCCCCAGCCTCCGTCGCTGGGGATATATCTCAACTGTGATGGGGCTGCTACTGCAGGGGATGGTGCTGGGCTCCCGGCCATTTGCGGTTTCCACAACCAGCACCTTGACAGCTCCGCTACTGTGCACTGGTCTGTGTTGACACAGGGTGTCCACTGACCCGATGGTGCCAGGTGCACTGGTGGGCTCAGGTACCAGATACTGCTTGTTTGAGAGATTTTAGGAAACTCTGAAGCAAGAACTAAGACAGGCTAATCCTATGGTAAAGCCTTTGGAAACAGCTTGGGTGGTCCAAAAATTGGGTGGGGCAAGGACTCAGGGAATCACCAGGGCGGGGCCGACAGTGTGAGCCAGGTTGCTAGAGTCCCAGATATGGCGGCTGTCTGCCTGCCCTGTGGGGAAGGGCTCACCAAAGGAAAAACGGCCTCCACCAGCACGTCTGTCCAGGAGAAAGCTACCCCTCCAGCCCTAGTCTGGAGGCCAAATAGCTCAGTTCTTCCCTGTTCTCCGGTGCCCCTCAAGCTGCCTCCCCTCAGAGCTCAGAGGGAGCGGGTCTGAGTAAGTCTGTGTGCGGGCCCTTTAAGAGGAACTGCTGGGGCAGCCGCAGCCGCAGCCGCAGCCGCAGCCTCCCTTAGTCTCAGTTCCAGCTGGTTTTACAGCCAAAAGTTATGGGGGCTTTTCTTCCTGGCACTGGAACCCTGAGCTAGGCGCCTGGTGTGGGACAGGGACCCCCTCACTCCTCAGAGAGGGCCTTCCCAGCCAAGGTGGCCCACCTGATTTTTATCCAACATACGTGGGTGTGGGACCAGCCTGGCCACACCTCCGCCCCTCCTAACAGTCTCGATATGGCGGCTTCTTTAATTTCGTAGTTGTAGGACTTCCATTCAGCTGGATTTCAGGCAGTTCCGAATGGTGGTTGTGTTGTAATTTTGATGTGGTTGTGGGAGGATGCGATACTGTGTTTACCTACGCCGCCATCTTTTTGTCTCTCCTCATTTGTCCTTTTTATGTGAATATTTTACCCAGTTAAAGAATTATTAACATACTTGACCCCTCACAGAATACTTTCCTTTATAATTATGGTTTTATCTGTAACTTTTAAAGAAGTAGAACAAAAGAGAAATACTTTGGAACACTTCTCCTTTCAGCCTTACATTCTCAAGAGCATGTCCTTTCCTGTGCCTTCTGTCTAAACTATGTCCTTCAGGCAAGGGTACAATCAAGACACACAACAGAGTTTTTCATTCGTTATCACCTGCTATGCACTGTTAAATAATGTTATTTCTTCTTCTGTTGGGAGACTTTTACTACCACAAAAGGAAACATATGGCAGTCACAAATCCTAAAAAACTGCATGAAGTAAAACAAGGTATATCTACCACATCTACCAAGCTGCAACCACTCTTCATGTGACTGTGAAGCCTGCCTTTGCTGATCCTAATCTCAACTATCAGTCCCTCTGTAAATTCCCGCATGAAACAGGCTAAATTTTTGCACTGATTAATATTACCTTTTACAAATTTTACCTTTTAAATTTAATTCTATCTCATTTATTTTACCATTTAATTCTATCTCATTTGAAAATATAAGAATCTGATTATTGAGGTCAGATTATGAAAACCATCCAAATTAAAGAACAAGTCTTACATATAACTTTAGGCACAGAATGAAGAAAAAATTAGCCTGTTTGCAGCTTTCACAGATAAATTACTTTTGTGGTCTCCTAACCTAAAACTGCTTTCCACAAGAATGCTCAGTGAAAATGCTGTAACTGAAAATATCCAAAATATATATATACATATAAATCCAAAGCACACTCCAAATGTCATCTTTTAACTTTAAACAGAAATGATAACAGAAGAGTTTAATGTAAGTTTTTGGTTAATAAGGCAAATATTTCGTGTCTCAAAATTTGTTCCAAATAATCTCACAGTCCTCTCTAATTCAATACATCAACCATACCTGTATATGAGCAGCATCTGTTTCTTCATTAAAACCTAAAAATGTGACCTGAATAAAAAAAAATAAAGTTCGATTAATTTGAGTTCTAACATTTTATCTCAATTAGATTACTGAAAGCTAAGAAACAGAAAAAAAGCACATAAAGCATTAAAATACTGTCACACACAAATATCAAATTATGTTGTATACCTGAAACTCATATAATGTATTATGTCAATTAGACTTCAATTAAAGTAAATAAATAAAAATGCTGACTGTCTTAGACAGAATGATTAATGTTTTCTTTTTTTTTAATCTCACCTGAGAACATTTTTTCATTTTTTGTTCAGATAGAGTGGGAGGGAGAAAAACATCGACGTGAAAGGCACACATCGAGTGGCTGCCACCCGCACGACCCAACCAGGGCCGGGGACAAACTGCAACTGAGATATGTGCCCTTAGCGGGAACCGAAACCAGGTCTCTCTGGACCACAGGCCAACGCTCTAACTGCTGAGCCAAACTGGCCAGGGCATGATTAATGTTTTCAAAGATGATGACAGAGGCTTTTCCACCAAAGATTTGGCCCCATAATGTATTCTTCCACCTCCCCCATATCCACTCCATTAGCAAGCTCAATCAATTCTACTCCCGAAACATACCTCGCGTACATCCACTTCTCTCTATTCCCATTGCCACCACTTCTCATCTGCACTACGACCCTCTTCCACCTGAACCTGGTAATGATCATGTCACCTGCCTGTCAAAAGCCTTGCATGCTTCCCAGTGTAGTCCTAACTTAGGCCCCTAGGCGCTGGGTTAGCTGCCTTCAACTCCCCTCACTGTCACTTATACACATAAGCTCCCTTTCTGGGTCTAGAACATGTCCAGTATGTACTTGCCTAAGGGCTTCACAGTAGCATCCCCTCCACCTAGATCTCTATTCCTTGGATGTTTCCATGCTTTGCTCTACTTCATTCTTTAAGATCCAACTTAAATGATACCTCCTCAGAGAGGCCTTCATTTATTAGGCCCTCAATAAGTGATATCATCACTTAAATCCATCCATGCCCTTATATAGAGATTTCTCTGCAGAAGTTTAAAATAAATTTCTATAAAATATCTAATGATATGAGGAAATGTGACATTATTAAGTAACAAGAACAAGTTACAGAAAAATGATAAAGAGTATGCCCACAGTTTTCAACCTTATTTTTAAAAACATATGCATGGGGCCCTGGCCGGTTTGGCTCAGCAATTAGACCATCGGCCCACAGATCAAACAGTCGCGGGTTCAATTCCAGTCAAGGGCACATGCCTCAGTTGCGGTTCGGTCCCTGGCTCTGGTCCAGGTGGTGTGGGAAGACAACCAATCCATGTCTCTCTCTCATGGATGATTCTCTCCCTCTCTCCCACTCTGTCTGAAGATAAATGGAAAAATATCCTCGGGTGAGATTTTAAGAAACATATGCATGGGAAATAACACTGGAAGGCAATACATCAAACTACAAACAGTGATTAACTCACAACAAAAGAATTATAAGTGATCCTATTTTTTTTCTACTTTTATCACCATGATTTTTTTCCGCAGTCATAAGATTAATGATAGTCATTTTCCTATTTTATGCTTTTGCTATTTCTTATTTTTCTACAAGGAATATGTACTGCTTTTATAATCTGAAAAAACTATTATTTTAAAATTTATATTCCCTTTGTCTTTGACATCACTGGAAGAAATATTTTCCATTTGAAGATAGAATTGCAAACTGTCTATTAAGCAAGCATTGTGACTAAAAATATGAAATACTTAAATAATAGCAATATGGATAATCAATGCCAGGAATTAAGGAAAAATAGATAGTTAAATTATAAAGCAACACAACATACTTTTGATCTCTTTCTGATTATTCAGAAGCAAGAATCTTAAATTACCTCAGGATCTTTATTCTGATTTATTAGGGTTATTACTTCACAGAACTGTTACTGTTAATATCCAGAGGTCTAAGTAAGTTGTTAACCTCTAGCAGCTTGTCTCCTCATCTATAAAACTTAAAGCAATAGAACTTTTCCTCCACGGTTGTGATGGTTAACTAGATAATGTAGAAGAAAGTACCTAGTATATCACAGGCACTCAATTACAAAGAGACATCCAATTAACAAATTTCCTTCCTTTCTTCAAAAAGATACTTTGAGATATGTACACTCTAAAGTGAGACAGAAATTCCTTCTATTCTTTCAAATTTCCTTTTACTGAACAGAAAAGAGAAAATAAGCTGACTTGGGGTTTTGGAGGTGCCAGGAGTCTTACATATCCCACTGATCGGGGAAGGCCTCATCAAGGAATGTGGGCTCAGAAAGGCACTGCACAAGCAGCTGGAGAGACACAGGCTGGAACACGGTTCGAGGGCAGAAGGACACAGGGGACTTGTCACACTTGGCAACAACTGTGGAGTTTAAGAGTGGCTCAGCTTTATGAAAATAAAGTAAAAAGGGAAAATAAGATACTAGTCAGGAGCCACAGAAATTGAGCTGACACAAAAAGAAGAGGCTCCAAGCAGTCAGAGAACACTACAAGCCTGAAAGGTGTGCTCATCATCCCATGGAAATACTTCAAATATAGTTTCTCAAGTAATAGGAGAGAAAATCATTCCCAAACAAGAACAATCAAGACTTTATTAGAACACTAATTTCAGCCCTGGCCGGTCTGGTTCAGCGGTTAGAGCGTCGGTCTGCGGTCCTGAGAGACCCGGGTTCGGTTCCCGCTAAGGGCACGTACCTCGGTTGCAGTTTGTCCCCGGCCCTGGTCGGTTGTGTGGGTGGCAGCCACTCGATGTGTCCCTTTCACATCGATGTTTCTCTCTCTCTCTCTCTGTTCCTCTCTCTCCCTCCCACTCTACCTGAACAAAAAAAAATAAAAAATAAATAAATAAATTTAAAAAAATTAAAAAAAAGAACACTAATTTCAAAAAAAATTTTTTTAATTAACAACCTAATACCTCATTTTTCAGATTCAATGGCCTAATACCCTATTTCTCTTATTTGACATCATAAATGTATTAATGGACTATGGTTATATTGCAGAATAAAATGTTATTCCTTTTTATAGTATAAATTCAAAGATAGGAAATACTGATGTAGAGCAAAACAGGAGAGCAAGTGGTGTATCTTATCTTCAAGTAGTAAATATCTAAATTTCAAAATAAATTTAGCATTACTTTTTCATTTTGAATCAAAGTACTGAATTTAGCCCAGCCGGTGTGGCTCAGTGGTTGAGCATTGACCCCATGCACCAAGAGGCTGCTGGTTCGATTCCCAGTCAGGGCACATGCCCAGGTTGTGAGCCAAATCCCCAGTAGGGAGCATGCTGGAGACAGCCAATCGATGTTTCCTCTCATCGAGGTTTCTCTCTCTCTCTCCCTCTCACTTCTTCTCTTTCTAAAATCAATAAAGAAGAAAAAAAATTGTTAAAAAAACACAAAGTACTGAATTTAAACAATCAAGAAAACTAACAACCTAAAATACGATTTAAAAAATAAGTATGTATTTCATGTTTCATAGTAAAAAATTTCAGTGTTAAAGCACTAATTATTGAATATAGTAGGAATCATCTAATACAGCACTGTCTTGTCTGATGTGTGGTTAATAATGCCTATTCATTGAATTAAATGTGCTCATTATAATATATAATGACAATTATGTTAGTGGGTATTTGAAACAGGTACTTCTATACTTGTATTAATATGTAAACATTTTAGGTATTTTAAACAGGAATGCAGTTCTATAAAAGTGCATGAGCACACACTGTGCTTTAGGGAAGGGTATAGAGAGTAATACTTCAAACCTCAGTCAAACTGGCATGTTCATCCTGCTTTAAACAGTCCTCTGCTGATATACTGCACAATTTCTTCTCACTCTGTAATAAAGACTTTACAGACTGGAACACATCTTCACTGAAGCTCTGAAAATAAAAGATATTCTTAATTGATTTAATTCTAAGACAAAATAAAACGTCTAGGAGATATTCTAGTTTTAAATGGAGAATAACTCTCCAATTAATAGTCATTTGGAATATTATACACCTTTTGATAAATGCAGAACTCAATTCAGGTAAGAGAAAAAAAATGCTTAAATACAGTTCCATATACTCAACATACACACACCACAACCAAGGCATTCAACCTACTGGAAGACCACCTGGCCCTCACACCGCATTCACTTACTCTTACCCAACATTTAAACCTAAGAGACTGCATACTTGATTTCTAAGTCATTGACATAACAGAAGCAACAATTTATATAAGGAGTGAGATGCTGTGGAAGCTATAGTAAGGAATGCTAATAACAGTGATTACCCTCATAGTAAAGACGGTTATGGGGGGAAAAAGACTTAATAAGCACAAATTAGGCTTCTCAGAGACCTTAAGGCAGCTATGTGATGGATGTGAGGGAAGGCATTCCAGATTTGGCAGGAGAGGATGTCACAAATACTAAGTACCAGAGGAAGGAAAAAGTTACATAAAGAAAATAATGAGTATTATAATCAGACATGAATAGACTCTTAATTTCCTGCTACTTTTCAGTCTCTGGGCTTTTCTCCTTCTGCTGACTTGTTGATCTGCTCTTCTATCAAACTATCCTTATTCACCAATCTTCCCCTGTAGAAATCCTACCCATCCCAAGACCTGTGAAGATGTTCCCATCCCTTGGTTATAAACAGTTTCTCTCAAAGTTCCTACTGTATTCATTGCACATTAAGATAATTTCATCTATATCACATTATAATTATTGTTTTCATTATGTTTTTGTCTTTCCTACCCATTAAACCAAATTACTGAGGCCAGAGACTGTAAAATTGTATTTAACTCAATTTGTTTCCCTACATTTCAATACCTCACATACCACAGGGTTTAAACCACAAAAGTAGGTTTACAGTTTTGAGTACACTAAAAACACAGGTTTATTCTTATATCATTATTTATTAATTATTGTATTATTTTCCATATGAACTATAAACCTACCTTTGCCCCACCCTGTATATGAACTCAATAAATGTGTGTTAATTTTAATAAACTGAAAATCTTCAGTCTAAGAGATACAACTATGAAATCAAAGCAATTAAGAAAAAAAATGTAGTTAAATTTGAATGTAACTATCAATATGAGCTCAAGATTCTTTAAGTATACGCACTACATTTTTCCACTGAAAGATTATAGAATCAATGACCTTCAGTAACAATGAGCACACCCAGCACCCAGACTTTGGTTTGTAAATACCATGTACCAATAAAAAGAACTACAGCTCCTTGGGAAAATGGTTAATTCCAGGTCAGAGGTAGAGAAAGTTATGAAGTGTGGCTGAAACATCTTACTGTAACAGAATGCCAAGGAGGTGCCCAGAGACTAACTAGGTCATTTCAAAAGAACACGGAAGCCAATTTAAAGAAATTCCCTCTGGCCTAATTTGGGACAATTTGGACATTAAAAGAATAAAAATAATAACATTATAAAAACTAAATGTTTTTTTAAACCTACAAGAGTACGATAAAAGGGTGGAGTAGGGAAAGAGTGCTTCTTTACTTAAGAATGCTGATTAACAATTATAGACAGAAAAACAAAATTAGAAAATCCCATTTGTAACTCCCAAGTAATAACTGATTTAAGAAAAGAACATCAATGTATCCTAATCCACTTGATTAAAAATTACTGGGGAACAGGATACTCACACTGTCTCACAGAATCACTCTACAGATCACTTATTAATAATTACAAAGGGATTATGTGTCTTTACATTGCAGATTATCACAATCTTAACTACCTAGTCAAGCCTGGCATCTCTTGATCTGACAGAGTGGAAAGACCACATCACCTTTCAGGGTTCCTGCTAAACCTAGTAACAGGGCAAAACAAATGAACTCCAAATATGGAGATGTTCTACAAGACAACCAGACTTCCAAAGAGGTGCTGTCATGAGAAAATAACCTAGAACATTGAAATGGACTAGACTGAAGGAAACCACAAAGACACAATACTCAAATATATAGTGAGAACCTTGACTGGATCTTTGATGAGAGGCAAGGGAAAAGTAACAAAGATATTTGAGACAATAGGGAAATATGTCTATGGACAGCATGTTACATAGATCATGTTACTGAGTTAATGGTTTTCTGAGGGGTGGTTAAGAGATGCATGCTGACATACTCAGAAGAGAAGTAAAATAATGTCTGCAGCCTACTCTCATACGGTTTCAGAAAGTGTGGAGGAGAGACTGTTTCCTGACTGACTGCTACTGGACCCTTGAGCTACATTCAATCCTGGCCATACCAGAAATTGCTTCCCATAAATCCCCTCAGAGACATCTGACTCCCATACACCCCATGTTGTGCTGGTTCCTAAATCGGGCCACTAACCTGCCCAGACAAACATGAAAGGCATTTTCCCTTACTTGGGACCAGTCCAGTATCCTCATCCATCCTGCCCTGTTCTACATAATTCTTTAGTGCCTACCAAGCATCACAGAGATTATCTACTTCCTCTTGCCACAGCCCAAGATGAGCCTATGTTTCCCTTAATAAATTCTGTTAACTGCTGGACTGGAGTGACCTAGTTCTTTCTTCAGTCTTTCCCTGACCTCTTCTTACAGAGGTAGACTTTTCAGTCTCTGAGATTTTCCTGGGTCTCCATGTATGAACAAAAGGGAAGTGGGTATGTATGTATGTATGTGTGCATGTATGTGGGAGTGTGTACAAACACACAGACAACATGATTGTGGCAAAATGTTCAGAGGGAGAATCTAAGTGAAAAGTATATGTGGGGCTCATTGTACTTTTCTTCCCCCAACTTTTCTGTGGGCTTCAAAGTATTCAAAATTTTAAATGATTCTGTTTTCATTAATGAATGGAGGTCTTCAGGTTAAGATACAAACATAATGAACTTAAAAATAAAAATCAGAATGTGAAATACGAACTTGAATTATCAATATAAACTCATGACACTGAAGAAGCAATGAACATTCCTGCTTTTTGTTTTTTTCATCCTTGCCAGAGGACATTTTTGTTTTTATCGTCAGATAGAGTGGGAGGTAGAGAGGGAGGAAGAGAGAGAGACACATCAATGTGAGAGAGAGACACATCGACCAGCTGCCACCCGCACGACCCCAACCGGGGAGGAACATGCCCTTAGTGGGAACCGAATCCTTCTGGATCACAGGCCGAGGCTCTAACCGCTGAGCCAAACTGGCCAGGACTGAACATTCCTATTCTTTTTTTTTTTAATCCTCACCGGAGGACATTTTTCCATTTTTTGTACAGATAGAGTAGGAGGGAGAGAGAGGAAGAGAGAGAGAGAGAGAAACATCGATGTGAAAGGGACACATCGAGTGGCTGCCACCCGCACGACCAACCAGGGCCGGGGACAAACTGCAACCGAGGTACACGCCCTCAGCGGGAACCGAACCCGGGTCTCTCTGGACCACAGGCCAACGCTCTAACCGCTGAGCCAAACTGGCCAGGGCGAACATTCCTATTCTTAGTTCCCACATCATGGTTTCTGGATATTATTTAGAGTTCTTTAGAGAAATAGCCAATTCTAGGTCTGAGGAAGGGAAAGTAGAAGGTGAAACTGGGGTCAATCTGTTGTAATAGAAACAAGGAAGCAACTCAGGAATTATCAGCCTGAGTCCAGCCAGTGTGGCTTGAATATCATCCCATGGACTGAAAGGTCCCAGTTCAATTCCTGGTCAGGGCACATGCCCAGGTTTCAGGCTAGATCCCTGGTAAGGGGTGTACAGAAGGCAGCCAATAGATGTTTCTCTTTCACATAGATGTTTCTCTCTTCCTTTCCTCTCTCTCTAAAATATAAAAACATATTTAAAACAAAAAAAGAATTATCAGTCTGAGACAAAAGGACATAAGTACCAGCTTGCAGGGGCTCCCAGGGACCAAGTTTGGAAAAATTTGAGCAATTTGAAATAAAGAAATGAGTGAATGAATAAATGACTATAAATAAATAAAAGATGAGAAAATGCAGAATTTTTTAAATCCGTTAAGTCCAGAGCAATACAAATAAACAAATGAATAAGTGAGGGGAATAAACTCACAAGCCACCACTGAATTATTATTCCACTAAATAATTACTCTGAAAATTGATAATTAAAGGGCATTTACCCTGCCTTTATATTAGACATCATAGTTCATCTAAGATTTTTTAAGAAGAATGTCAGCCAATAAATGTAAAGAAAAAAAGAGAGAAAATTAGAAAAATCACCATTTTGCAACTTCCAAGAAAAAACAAATTCAGAAAAGGGTCATCAAGAAATGCCAAAAATATTAGATGAAAGGTTATTGGGGGAAAAAACAAGATATCTGCACACAACCAAGGATTATCTGCTAATTAACAAAACAGAAAATGGAGTTACTACCTTATTCAATTGGTCGATTTTTGCATTGCTGAACATAGGAAAATCTGAAATTCTGTCCTTAAATCACCCTATAATGTATTCTTGTCAAACCTGAATCTAAATAATCCTTTATACCTAACTTCTAGTCTATATGAAATACAGAAGAGAAAGAAAAAGTTAAATAGCACTGTAAGAAAATAACTAGACAAATACAGTGTGGAACATTGTTCAAAAAAATGACCTAGTCTATTCAAGAAGTCAGTCTTAAATATATAAGAGAGGGGGAGGGGGGGGAAGAGAGACTGACTTTTTCCATGCCAACAGCACTCTCACAGACACAGTGAACATTGCTAAAACTGCTGGACTTTCTATGAGAAGTGTGACATGCACCACCCCACAAAGTGACACAGTACAAGAAGTACATGACCCCACAATAGAAGACCCCACGTTGACACAGTATCAGAAGGTCAAGGATTCTCTGGACACCCTGGGAAAGCAGCATTATGACAGGAAACAGAGTAGCTATGGTGGGCAAGCTGTCAATTTTACAGAAAAGGCTAAAACTACAAAGAATTTTTACTGATCCTTGAATGTGCTGAGCCCAACTGCAGATTTAAGAGAATGCTAGCTTTAAGAGATTCGAGCATTTTGAACTAGGAGAATATAAGAAAAGAAAGGACCTCAAGATCCAGGTCTAAGCTTTGGCTTTCGTTTTATTATGAAGACAATAAAATCTTGAGGTTATACTTACTTTTTTTCTTAATTTTTTCTCTTTATTGATTTTTAGAGAGAGAGAGAGAGATAGAAATATTGATGAGAGAGAACACTGACTAGCTGCTTCCTGCATGCTCCTCACTGGGGATTGGGCCCACAACCTGGACATGTGCCTCGATCGGGAACCAAACCAGCGACCTCTTGGTGCATGGGTCAACGCTCAACTACTGAGCCATACTAGCTGTGCTATGTTTACTTTTTAAAAAATTAAATAAAATTTAAAATTTTTAATAAATAAAAATAGGAGAAACTTTAAGTAAGTCATAACCATCAAGTGCAACCTAAGGCCTTGGAGCTTAAACTGAATCCAAAATGGGAGTTGGGGAAGGGACTATAAAAGACATTTTCCCAGTAATAAAGGAAATCTGAGTATGGCTGGGTATTAGATACAAGGGAATTATATTTAATTTCTTAGATGTGATAATGCTATTACTGTTATATGGAAGCATGCTGCTATTCCTGAGAGAAGAATGTTCAAGTGTTCAGGAGTAAAGAGACATTAAAACTTTAACTTTCAAGTGGTTCTGCCAAAAAGTAAATATACAAACACACACACACCCCAAATAAGATAAAATATTAACAACTGTTGAATATTGGTATTTGGTATGCAAGTTTATGTGTTGGTGTACTATGCTTCTAACTTCTCAATATGATTAAAATTTTTCATAATAATATGTTTAAAAAATTAACAGAGTAGAAAGTATATAGCTCTGATTTTCATAATACTTGATTCCTAATATTTAATGTACCCCTATCTTTAATGCAAAGTAAAGTGAAATCCAGAGAATTCAAGTATACCTTTCAATTTCCACATTAGCCAGTAGGAAAAGTTTTTGTCATTCAGCCATACTAAGGAAAGACATCAAAAGTGCTATAGTGTATGCATAACACACACATATAAACAGTATATAATATTTGGATTCATATACTTTTTTTTTTATCCTTATTCGAGGACATTTTTCCATTTTTTGTTCAGGTAGAATGGGAGGGAGAGAGAGGAACAGAGAGAGATAGAGACAAACATCAACGTGAAAGGGACACATCGCGTGGCTGCCACCCGCACGACCAACCAGGGCCGGGGACAAACTGCAACCGAGGTACGTGCCCTTATCGGGAACCGAACCCGGGACTCTCTGGACAACAGGCCAACGCTCTAACCACTGAGCCAAACCAGCCAGGGCTGGATTCATATACTTTTATCTGAAAGAGTTTCCAAGTATTCAAGTGAATTCAAACCAAATCTTTATTTTGTACCTAGTATAGATAATGTGCTGAGTTACAAAAGACATTAAAACAATAGTACAGTCCGAGTGGTGTGGCTCAGTGGCTGAGTGTTGACCCATGCACCAAGAGGTTGCCAGATTGATGCCCAGTCACGGCACATGCCCAGGATTTAGGACCAATCCCCAGTGGGGGGCATGCAGGTGGTAGCCAATTGATGTTCTCTCTCCCTCTCCCTTCCTCTCTAAAAATCAATACAGAAAAAAAAATATTTTTAAAACAATAGTACAAACTTTCAGCTGTGGCCTAATTCCTCATATTAGTAACTTGAGTTGAACAGATATGTAGTGTTATGCTTAAAGAACAAGGTCACACCCTGGCCAGTTTGGCTCAGTGGTTAGAGTGTCAGCCTGCGATCCAGAGAGACCCGGGTTCGGTTCCCGCTAAGGGCATGTACCTTGGTTGCAGTTTGTCCCCGGCCCTGGTTGGATCGTGCTGGTGGCAACCACTTGATATGTCCCTATCACGTCGATGTTTCTCTCTCTCTCTTCCCCTCCCACTCAATCTGAACAAAAAATGGAAAAATGTCCTCGGGTGAGGATTAAAAAAAAAAAGAAGAACAAGGTCACTAGTTCATTATTATATTTTGTATGTATATTTCTTAGCTCTAATTATGAATACAAAGCAATCAGTATAATTTAATTATTAATTTAAACCTATGAGTCCTGTTGCTAAAAAAAAAAAGTATAATACACTATAGTTTACAGAAAGTAGAAATTTGCTCACTACTGATTATCTAATACGTAGTGTAGGACCTGACTTACAATACTCAAATTTATATTTACTGAATGAATGAATGTGGAGAAAGCACCAGTGAGAGAGGAAAGTGACCGCAGCATCCTCCGTATCCGTAAAGGCAGGAGGTGGAAGCCCTCCAACACATCTGGACAGCAATACCTCTGGCAAAGTGGACATAAAAAGTGTGCCCCCTGGTGGTACAGGCTCCTTAAAAGGAAAGAGAGGCAAGGAGAGAGAAGTGGTCAACAGGGCAAATTAGCCACCAAAATGCCACAGCCTTCAGTCCTTCAAGCCCAAGGGGGAGGAAGGGGGAGGGGGGGAGGGAGGGAGGGAGGAAGAAAAGTAAAACTTTGGCGTAGAGCTAAAGATCTGTAAGAAAATTTACACCTGATACTTATATTGCAAAGAAGACAGAAAACTATCTGCTGAGAAAAAAATGAGAGGCATGCGATCTTTAGGAAATAAGATTCATTATTTTCATTCACTTTTGTCATACATTTCAATCTTTGCAGTATTTTAATGTTACTAATTTCAATGAGATTAATTTAAAAACAAAAATATCATAACTGCTTAATAAAAAAAATGATCAACATTTTTACCAAACAATCATTGAAAGGAATCTAATATAGAGAACTTACTTTCTTGACAGAGGCTTTAGTCTTCATGCGGCTGTTTCTAAGAGTCTGGAAGGTCGCCATAGCTATATTGCCGTTGCATGTGATGAATGAAGAGTTAATCTATAAAACACCTAAAGAATACATATTAAAAGAAAACAATTTATTAACTTTAGAGACTCGGGCAAGCATTTTGCCCTAAAATAACTTCTAAAATACATTCATTTAAAAAAAAAAAAAATTCTGAGCCACAAAAATTTACTTAGCAATTCCAACATAAATAGTTGAAAAATATGTTACAATTAGTACCTTAACAAGATATCAAATTGTTACAAAAATTTTATTTTTAGGTTCAAAATTATTATGAAGTAGTTTATCAATCTCACTTCCCTTTTTATTGCAATAAGAAAATATTTGAAAGTCTCAATAAAACATATTTGAAAAACCTTTTAAAATCTAATACAGAGCCCTGGCCAGTTTGGCTCAGGGCTTACGATGTCAGTCCGTGAACCAAAGGGTTTCAGGTTCAATTCCCAGTCAAGGGCTGGTACCTAAGTTGCAGGTTGGATCCCAGTCCCAGTCAGGGTCTCTCAGGAGGCAACCAGTCAATATGTCTCTCTCACATCAATGTTTCTCTCCCTGCTCCTCCCTTTCTCCCTCCTCCCTTCCACTCTATCTAAAAATCGATAGAAAAGTATCCTCGGGTGAGGATTAACAACAACAACAAAAAAATTTAATATAGAGAATATCACAAAAAGATTCCAGCCTTCTTGTCTCTCAAAAGTCATTCTATCCCTAAAGCAACTGTGAATGCTCTACACGTTCTTATTTCTTGGGCAGATAGGTTTGATAATATACAAATAAAAATGTGATATCTGAACATATCAAATTAAATTAGATAAACAAAAACAAGTTCTTCATACAGTAATCTTAACAGCATACCAATGACTAGAGTTAAAAAATAAATCTAAAGTCAATGATAAATAGCACTTAAAACACATGTATGCACACATGTACTCACACCCCTTGGGAGACCCTCTAAAACTAAGTCCTAACTTTTTTTTTTACCCTCACCCAAGGACATTTTTCCATTTTTTTGTTCAGACAGAGTGGAAGGGAGAGAGAGGAACAGAGAGAGAGAGAAACATCGATGTGAAAGGGACACATCGAGTGGCTGCCACCTGAACGACCAACCAGGGCCGGGGACAAACTGCAACCGAGGTACATGCCCTTAGCAGGAACCAAACCTGGGTCTCTCTGGACCACAGGCCGACGCTCTAACCGCTGAGCCAAACCAGCCAGGGCTAAGTCCTAACTTTTTATCAATGCTTTAATAAAATACTTTTGAGAGCTTAAATCTACTCAGCATTAACCACTCCATATCAACATCTGACCACAGTAACTTATTCATTCACTCAAAATGTACTTGCATTAGATGATATGGACAAAGGGGAGAACAAAGCAGAAAAATGTTTTATGATAGTAAAGGATGGCAATGGAAATTGAATTCTAAATCACTAAATAAAAATTTGAATAAATAAAGATTTAAGAAATGGTTAATAAGTTTCAATGAAACTGGTCTTATAAAGAATTACCTAATTGCCCTGGCCAGGTGGCTCAGTTCTGGTTGGTGCGTCATCCTATACACCAAAAGGTTACACAGGTTCAATTCCCAATCAGGGCACACACCTAGGTTTCGGGTTCAATGTTCGATCCCCCATCAGGGCATATTTAGGAGGCAACCAATAGATGTTTCTCTCTCACATTAATGTTTTTTCCTCTCTCCCTCTTTTCCTCAAAAAAAAAAAAAAAAAAAAAAAGTCAATGAACACATCCTCAGGTGAGGACTGAAGAAAAAAAAAAAGAATTACCTAGTTGAAATTTTAAAAACATGTGGTTATTAATATAAATATTATAAAGAGACTTATATGGAAAAACCAAACTTCAACCTAATGCCATCAGAACTGCCAAAAGCACACTCACCCTTGAGTGGAGTTCTAATTTTGTATTCTTATACTATAGAGGTAAAACTGAAGTGTGTGTGGGGGACACACCTTCCTTTACAGATTACTAGATTCTAATTTTTAGAAAAAGAATTATGATGATATACTATTCTGAATGAAGATAAATCCTAGTAGTCTCTCTAACAATGAAATCTGACCAATGACTGGGACTGAAGTAGGATTGTAAGAAAGGAAACAGAGGTCCCAAAAGCACAAGATAAAGAGCGATACACCAGGATTCAGAAAAGTAGCATTTGTGTTCCCGTTCTACCTCTCATTAGCTTTGTCTCCTCTGGGCAAACTGCAATATCTCTGGATCTGTTTCCTCGATACATACATAACCCAACTTACCCAGCAAGTTTATTGTGAGCATCAAATGGAAAATTTATAGGAGGTACTTTGGAAACCATAAAACATATGTCAGAGAAAAATTAAAATATTTATATATGAAGAAAAATGAAGAAGAGGGCCAAAATTATCAAAACAAGGTGTAAAGATTTATGTGGCCAAAGAAAATAATCCTTTTATTTGTCCCAGGCCAACTTACTCTCTTTTCTCTCCCAAAGAGTTCTCTTCAACTGCCAGAAACGCTTAGGGGCAAATGGACTTGCCTCAAATGTCACGTAGAGGTCAACACAAGGGTTACAGAAAAGCGAAACTCTCAAACTCAACTCCTGAGTAAACTGACACCACCTTTTTGGAGGGCAATTGTGAAATCCATGTCAAAACCCTGAAAATATTCCTACCCTATGACACACAATTCTACATCTGGGAATCATCAAAGGAAACAATGATTCTGGAGCATCTACGGTTCTAACTAAAGTTTATAAAGCACCAAGTGCTTTGCTGAGATATTACGTTAACATTTCATTTAATCCTTAGGACTGGCCGAGTAGTATTCCAATTACAATGAGAAAAACAGGCAAGGGGAAATTAAGCAATTCGTACCATCCCACACAGCAAGCAGTAGAGCTAAGACTCAAATCCAAATCTTCAAACTCTAACACCCAAGTTTGTAACCTCTCCTCTTAGTGTATAAAGGTCTGAAAAGCTGTTCATATCACACTTTATAATAGAGAAAAATAAGCACTCAAGATGCCAGAAAAAAAGAGAGTGACCGAATGACCTAGAGTGCATTCCTGAGATGTCAATGGCAGGTATTTAAAAACAATGCGGAAGGGCAGACAGGAGAGGCACACAAAGCATCTTTACTTTCTCTGACTCCTGAAAGGGTGGAGTTGAGAAAAGAGATGGGAAAAAGCAATTACCTTTGCAGCTGCTGACTAGAGTCAATATGAGCAAAGATTAAACACTAACTCACTGGAGGCTTCACCAGGAAAGAAACTGACCAATTATTCAGATGAGCTGCTCACCTGAAGGTGTGACACGCCATGTCCCACTGAGGAAGAAGAAAGAGTTGCATTGAGCTTGCGGAGGCCTGGGTGCTGAGATACATCCCAGATCTGACATCTCTAAGCTACCCCAGTTCAGTCTACCCACAATATTCCTGAATAGCAAACCTAGATAGAACACTCTTTTCAAAGCAAAATAGAATCCAATATGGGCCTCTACAGTTTTTTAAATAAATAAAACCAATATAAGACGGAATACACTAAAGAAAGAAAAAAAAATCCAGACAAATATCATGCCACCCAAAACTTAACATTTACTTCCAAGGTAGTAACTGAGAACTTATATTAATAAAAAAAAAAACAACTAAATTTCATTCCACATCTACACTTTGCTTCACTCATTGAAGAAAAACACATTTACTGAACCCTACCCCATTACTTTGTGTTTAACATTAAAAATATGTAAAACAGGCCTGGCCGGTTTGGCTCAGCAGTTACAGCATCAGCCTGCAGACCAAGGGGTAATGGGTTCGATTTCCGGTCAAGGGTAGTATCTGGGTTGCAGGTTTAATCCCCGGCCCAGGTTAATATGACTCTCTCATCAATGTTTCTCTCTCTCTCTCTCTTCCCCTCCCTCCCCTCCACTCTACCTAAAGATTAATGAAAAAATATCCTGGGTGAGGATTAACAAAAAAATAAAAATAAGTAGCCCTGGTCGGTTTGGCTCAGCGGTTGGAGCGTCGGCCTGTGGACCAGAGAGTCCCGGGTTCGGTTCACCCTAAGTGCACTCACCAAAAAATATAAATATAAATAAATAAAGTAAGACATTATCCCACAAAGAAAAAAAAAATCTATCAGAGATTATCTGTGCAACGGCCCATAAAAGTGAATCCAACATGAGATTAAGTGACTTGCACTTCTGGTAAAGAAAAATAAAAAATCACTTTTGGAAATGATGCAAACACAGATGGGGGAAAGAGTAACAGAGTAAGGTTTCTTTACCATTTTATATAATTAGAAAGGATACAGTTTTAATTTTTTTTTTATCCTCACCAGAGGACATTTTTGCATTTATCTTCAGATAGAACGGGAAGGGGGGGAGAGAGAGAGAAACATCGATGTGCAAGAGACACATTGACTGGTTGCCACCCACACAACCCCAATCAGGGCCGGGCACAAACTGCAACCAAGGTACGTGCCCTTAGCGGGAACCGAACCCGGGGCTCTCTGATCTGTAGGCCGACACCACTGGGCCAAACCAGCCAGGGCAAAAGGATGCAGTTTTATTTATTTATTTAATTTTTTTTTATCCTCACCCGAGAACATTTTTCCATTTTTTATTCAAATAGAGGGGGAGGGGGAGGGGGAGAGAGAGGAAGAGTGAGAGAGAAACATCGACGAGAAAGAGACACATCGAGTGGCTGCCACCCGCACGACCAACCAGGGCCAAGGACAAACTGCAACCGAGGTACGTGCCCTTAGCGGGTCTCTGTGAACCACAGGTTGATGCTCTAACCGCTGGGCCAAACCGGCCAGGACAAGGATGCAGTTTTAGACAGATTTCACAAGAGGAGCAAAAATACAGTATTTCCCCTAGGACACCTTTGTGTTATAATAATCAACTTTTCACTTCATGCTTTTTTGCTTTGTGGCCTATTCTGGGTGAAAAAAACAACAGTCCTAAACAGGAAAACACTAAGTGTGTTTCTCTATAGTCGAAGAAATGAAAGTGAACCTAGATCATTTTTTAAAAAGCAGATCAGAGACAAGAAAATACAG